TGTGTTGTGCTCAGGCTCGCGTAGGTACGTACACACTCTGCGGAGGCCCATCCGGACCATTTTCACACTCCAGCGGACAGGCTGTTACTACACTTCCTTGGCCTCACGTTTCGCCATCTCCCATTGGGTCACACCTTCTCCTTTCCTTCTCTGGTGTCACCCCTCCCGCTCATTCGCTCCTCTACACCTCCTCATCCCTGCAGCACCATTTTCCCCTTAACACCTCAACCTTTGTTTCTTCTTTTTTCTTGCATGAAAACCAGGGAGAATTGTGCGGAATTTCCACGGTAAACAATACCGATTTATTTACATCCGAAAAAGGGTCAACAGAACTGAATTTAATCTGTGCATCCGTGTGCATGTGCACAATGCTAACCTTTTCCTTTTTATGTTTCTATGTACAAATGTAATGCTTGCATCGTGTGATAAGAGGGTTGCAGCACTATTTTGGTACACTATAAACCGCAGAGTGTCTGTTCTGACCAAGAACAAAGTGGCAAGCCAAGGATGTAATTTGGTTCCGGCGAACTCGCCAGGCCTGAAAACGACAAACCCCAAATTCGCTCGAAAACTCTCTCTCACTGAAGTTAAAAATGACCGCCTTCCAAAGAGCTTAGCATCGCACTAAATCCTCAACAGTTCTTTATATCCTGTTTCCCAAACCTCTATTGCTCTGCCCCGCTCGGCCTCAGTTGCTGCATGACTAACTTTCAATTACTTTTGATTTGGACAGGGACTGCTAAGGCATTGGCAGATGTCAATCTTCCAGGCTTTGTAAGGTAGTGTGACCTGGAATCCCAGGAGAAATACTAAAAAAATAAGTGTCCAAAAACATGGTACCTTAAAAGATCCCACAGTTATACCCTTTTAGTTTGTTCATTTACTTTTTGGGAATATAGGTGTAGCTCTCAGGGTCTCTAAAGGAAAAAATATGTGCCTTCGGGTCAAATTATTAGCCATGTAGGCCACATACAGGACTGTCTCAGAAAATTAGAATATTGTGATAAAGTTCTTTATTTTCTGTAATGAAATTAAAAAACATGAAATGTCATACTTTCTGGATTCATTACAAATCAACTGAAATATCGCAAGCCTTTTATTGTTTTAATATCGCTGATAATGGCTTACAGCTTAAGAAACCCAAATATCCTATCTCAAAATATTAGAATATCGGATTTTTGAGTTTTCTTCAGCTGTACGCCATAATCAGCTATATTAAAACAATAAAAGGCTTGCGATATTTCAGTTGATTTGTAATGAATCCAGAATGTTTGACATTTCATGATTTTTAATTGCATTACAGAAAATAAACAACTTTATCACAATATTCTAATTTTCTGAGACAGTCCTGTATACTTAGCATTTTTTAATGAAAAGGTTAAGATATGTAACATTGGGGCAAATGTGCAGCACCTATGTCCATTTGAGTTTAATTTACTAAGGCCCAATGGTATAATCTGGGTATATTTGGTTTGGGAAGCCCCTTGTCATACAGTTTTGGCAATAATTTAAAGACTAATTGGAATTTTTTGTATCCCATGGATATGTGATTACTGTTTATAGGCGCTTAACATGTTTCCTACTGTGATTGAGGAAGCTCTCAGCCCCTCAGGTCCCAGATTCCCAGCCCAACTGCCCTGTCTTCCTCTGCAACGGGGAACAAATAAAGATCTGGCCATGGCCCAGTGAACAGTACACCTGAGAAGTCTCACGCTATTACTCCCTCCCCCACACTCACACACGCAGCCGGGGCCAGACTGAGTCAGAGAATCACCTCAGAGAGTTTATTCATCCCTGCTTTTGAATGAGTGGGCAGTCTCCGTTTTTTTTTTTTATCTCATCATAAAGTTCAGAACTGCAGCCTTGCTCATGAACTGGACCTCTGGATGCCTCAATAGAAACATTACAACATAGTATGAATAGAAATGTATCTCTTGCTTGATTTATTTTTTATCAGAGTGCAGTTTTTTTATTTAAATCTTTCAGTGTAGAGTGAAAATAAAAAGCAAGGGCTGCTCACAATTCAAGTCTTTATTGGCGTTTTGATGCAAAAATTGATGTATGTCTCGAAAATGTTGGATGAGGGTTGGTTACTAAAACCTTCAGGATTAACTTGGAATATATTTATATGCAATTTCCCGCTAAGTGGAGGAGCTTCCTCTTTGTGGCAAGGCAAGTTTATTTGTATAGCAAATTTCACACATTATGGCAACTCAGAGGCATTGAGATTAAATCAATTAATTGAAAAAAATAAATGTGTAATTGGAAAGAATACAGATCAAAAACAAACAAAAGTGAAACAGTGAGAACATTTTGATGAAGATGTTGGTACAATTCATGCTCCTGAATTCAATTCGATAGAAGTAATTGACTTAAGTTAGTATTTTTTTTCTTTGTGTGGGCAGAACTTCGACTGTGTTGCCTGGAAACCCCAACCAGTAACCATTAGAGACTGTAACCAGGGTAGGGCTGTGCATCTTTCCAAGAAAGACAAATCAGTATCTCTAAGAACATTTTGCCACTTAAGACCAAAGTCTGTTTTTTTAACTGAGTAAACACGGATAATTAAAGCCTTAGATCTCATTTTACGACATTTCTAACCGGCGTTCTCCTAACTTCCGCTAAATATAGAGGGAGAGAGATTTTCCACCGTTTTTTTCTCCAGATGTAAATCCTCCGCTCCGTTGGCTCTCACGACAGGCTGTGACGGTGCATATGTTCGTTCCTGCCTTCTTTCTTCATCTCAATCGCATCCGACTGTTTTTGCCCCTGACAGCTAAAAGCTGTGAGTTCCTGCCACAAAAAAAAAAGAGTGTCGAGGTATAAGAAGAAGAGGATGATGAAATGAAATGATGAAACAGATGAGGTTTTAATCAGAACCTCTTTCTCCATCACCTCATCAGCCCTCTGGATCCACCCCCAACAGGACGACAGGCAACCTCTCCGAGTGCCTCGCTGCGTGGCCTTTTCAATAATGTAAGAAGGGGGGACAGAAGAGAGATAAAATGAGGGAGGAAACGATTTCCCGGCTCTGTAGGAGCCCCCCTGTGTGACATTTACCTCTAGCGAGGCCGTCGGTGTGTGTGTGTGTGTGTGTGTGTGTGTGTGTTTGATGGCCCTGTGCCAGACTAATGGCTCACACACCCTCAGAGGGCAAAGCTTTTCCTGCCAGAGATGCCACATGTTCTTTAGAATCACCCCAAGGAAAGGAGGAAGGAATGATTATTAAAGTATTTCTGATTCTAATTCAGATTCTGAAAAGACCACAAGAAGGGATGCAGATAGTTTCAAAAGGAATTCTGAAAGCAGTAATTGCTGACGATGTAAATAAGAAACTAAATCATATTTAGATAGCTCAAACTAAAGGATAACGTTTGTGTTTTTTTAATAGAAGAAGCAGTAACCTTGTTTTACGCATAAGCCCCACTGTTTCATACCCCACTACCTGCCCCCCTGTTTTAGCACGGGGTGGTCTCGTCTTTCCTCCTAAGGGGGTTCACCACCCCCCACCTGGACCGGTGGCATCCATCATTACCTCCCAGCTTCAGCCCAGGGCCTGCCAAATGTCACACAGCTGGAGTGTGAGCCTCCAAAGGCTGTGAATGTCTTGGAAAAGGTTGGCGCAGGTAGCAGTTCTGCTACCTCCGTTTTTAGCTAATCGAAGGCGTTAAAGAGCAGGTGCAAATAAGTATGACGTTTTGAGGTGGACCAAACATACTTATTCCAAACTCCACTCAGTCAAGGCCATCAGAAATTCTGTGACGCGAAACTGGATTTTGTCCATGCTCAATGGATAGGCCAGTTGTGGTCAAACTTAATGTTCATTTATCAGAATAATTTATGTCGAAGATATCTGTTCATATGTCAAATATGAGCAATTTCATTCTGATTGAAGATCATGTGAGGTTCATGGAGTCTCCCTCTTAATCAGAAATTCAGCTCTTGGCCTGAATTTGCCGGGGACTCTTTTCCCATACTTGAAAATATTTATTTCAAGTCATTTGGAACTTTTTAAAATCCCCTCTGAGTCGCAGACTTCCAAAATTTGTTCGGGAAAAATCGGCTTTTTGCATATTTGCATAGAGACACGGCATAATGCCATCGTTTCAAACAAACAGGCTCCCAGAGCTTGACACATTTCACACGGTGCTCAAGTCACATCCAAAACAGATATTTGTGGGCGCACGTCGAGAAATATGCCCCCCCCCGCTATCCAATCACTTATCAGCTGACACTGTCACGTCTTAAAAATGACTTTGTGTCAGGGAGCTGAAAAGAGGTCACAGCTCAGTGTCAGTGTTTGTTTACACGGAGAGAAATAATGGCTGACTGGCCCACTAAATCACCATGCTGTCGGCGGAGACAAACTTCAGTATAAAGCCCGAATGTGAGGTCAGAGATGAATGCCTCCACCGGTTCTGACTTTGAGGGAGAAAAAAAAGATAACTCAGAGACAGCTCAGCCGTGCAAAAAAAGACAAGCAGAAAAACAACTAGATCACAAGAATGTGATCTATTTATTGTTTATTTTTGGGTCTGATATAGCCGCTATTAAGATCCGCTCTTGTTTCGACTGTGGAAACGTTAACGGCTTCAAAATCCAAGAAAAGGAAGCGTTTCAAATTCCATCCCCCCTTTTTACTGTCCTATATTTTTATTTCTACATTTTATTTCTTGCTTCTCATAGAAGTGTTGTGTTGTGCACCAAACACCAATGCAAATTCCTTGTAAGTCTAAAAACCTACTTGGCAATAAACATTATTCTGATTCTGATTCTGATTCTGATTCTGATTCTGCACCTGCTCAATCGAGGCGGGGGACACCCAGAACAGGGATGCGTTCACAATGTGTCTGGATGACATTTACCGGATCATTTTAAAACTGTTTCGCTTTTGAGGCGTCGACAAAACAAAAAAACTGTTGGAAACCACTGCGTTAGAGCGCCGTGCTGAATCGCTCAGTCTACTGCTGACCTCTTGTGGGCCAGTCGGAGCAGTGCCGTCAGCTCTTTTGGCCGTGTGTGGCTGGACAGCCGCACTGGGAGCTCTGCTTCCTGGGCCTCCTCGTTTCGGACAGCTCCGCTTGCCTTAGCAGCAGCTCTCTGGCCAGGTCCGGCCGGCCGCTCCTGGCCAGGCTCTGGGCCAGCTGGGAGGCCTTGGGCTGGTGCGGGACGGAGGGCTGCGCCCTCCTCCACGTAGCCAGGACCTGGAAGGCCTGGGCCGGCGGGCTGTCCCCCGCCCGGAGCTTGACCAGCTGGACGGCGCTGCGTCTGAGGCGCAGCGAGGACACCAGCAGGGCCGTCTCCTCCCGCGTCAGCTCCCCGGCCAGCCAGAGGAGGAGAGCGTCGGACAGGAACTCTGCATTAGAGAAGTGATGGTGGTGAAAGCTAGTCATTCATAACATAAGAACAGAAGCAGGACAAGACAAATGCTCTTAAAGTCTCAAACTGCAGTCTAAAATTCTCTTTTAAGACGGGGTTCATGAGAGAAGAAGGGTTGGAGTGATAGTGAGTAAAAAGGAGAGGCTGATTCAGCAGAGCAAGAGGAGGACGGAGGGGATCCATGATGGATTCGTCACACACCTGTCTCCTCGCATAACTTCACTCTTGCCGCTGTGGGTCGATTGATGACTCTCGCTTTCTGAAAGGAAACAGAATAAATCTGTAGTCGTGCAATCTCCAATTTCAGAAGAACTTTCAGAAACATTTCAAAGGTTGAAAATTAGGTTTGAATACATAAGTCCAACGGACAGGCGTAAAAGACTCCCTTAAAGAACAAAAGTCTCCAAAAAGTAAGGATGCACTATTGATTGTCACAATTTGCTAAGAAAGTTGTTTGAAATCTTTTTCTTTTCCATCATAAAGTTAAGTGTCAGCACCTTTGGTAAGGTGAGAGGCATCTTACAGACCGGGTCTCCCAGGAGTTTTGAGTCCTTCAGGACAGCTTTGTCCCCTCCCCAGTCCAGCCTTCCTCGGCTGACCCTATAGAACAGGGCCGTCCCTTTGTAGTGAGGCGAACTGTAGTTTCCAAAAGGGTCCAGCTCAGTCAGGTGCACTAAGAGGCGATTCCTCCGCTGGCTGTGAAATGTGAGGCGCTCTCCCTCGTTTTTGTCGTTTTCGGCCGAACCTGCGGGACGGGAATAGGAGCAGATCTTACAGTAAATGACCATCATCTGAAAGAAGCCTTTCAGTTCCTGAAGAGGGTCTTATTGTGAAGTGCACCACTTGGTCAGAGCCATGTTTCCCAGTATTCCTACACAGCAGACTGGTTTGAAAGAGCAGAGGCCAGGATCAACAGAAAAATGTGTTCAGAAAAACATTTACAACTTAAAGCGAGCCAGAAATGAAACGTTCCTTCCATCTTCACCAAACAGTAAAATGTTCCATTTTCCACATCTGATATTTTCTGCTTCAAATAGATAAAGTGCATGAGGTTAAAGATGCTGATGTGAAAGGGAACACTGCGTTCCCACATGCCAGCACATGATAAGGAAAAGAGTCACTCGGCGGAATGGAAGTAGAAAAAGAAAATACACAAAGCACTTATTGAATTATTTTCCTCATCATGCACACACACATTGACACAGACTTCAATCTCAATACTCATGGGTGAATTAGTCACAAACTGTATTTCTGATTCTCTAATCTAATTTTTTTTATGACTTCTGCCAAACTCGTTTGCTGGGAACTTACAAAGCTGATACCCTCAGTGGTCTTTTAATTGGATTTATTTGGCAGTATTAAATCTGATTGTTATTCCGGTATTAAAGCAGAAACTTTCCCTTGAGTCACAACTAACAACTGATAACTCTGTGGTCGTGATGGAGTGCAGCTCAACTTATAGAGTATGTCACTGGGTTGAGAAAGACACGAGATATCATTTCATTTGATAGAAACTACATTAAAAGTTGCCACCTGTGGAGCCGATGTTGCCGCTGAAACGCAGGACGAGCTGATCTGCTTCACACATGGAGATCTCTGCTGAGGTCTCCACGAGGCCGTGGAGGCCCTGGGCCCTGAGTCTGCTCAGCTCCCAGCTGAGCTCTCTGCTGGGCAGCGCGGCCAGCCACGCTGACCGAGGTTCCTCTTTTGGCCTCTGCAGAACGACGGTGACGCTGTGGCAGCGGGAAGACTCCACCAGCTCCTCGGCCAGGGAGGCCAGATCACAGGGCTGCAGCGGGGAGAGGAGACGGACCACCAGCAGCCTGATGGGAGGAGGGACACTTAAGAAAGTTAGCCTCAGAGAAAGAATGACTTTGCTTCTGAATGAGAAGTGTTTGTTATCAGAGCCAGAACACAGACGTAAAAAAGAAAAAAAAACAACTCTAAAATCGTTATCGCTTCTGAGGCTAATTTGGATAAGAGAAAAGATTTAGAATCCTTTATTGTAGGTATAAATCTTGTAATTTACAAACGTCTGACACTTTCTTCCGCCTTTAACTGCAACACCCCCAGTCGCCGTTATGTACTTTATGTGCGCTTATGTTCTGACATAGAAATGCCAAAGCCTGGAATTTGAAGCATTTAGCTCCCCCTCTATTCCATATACCCGTCTTAAACCCCTTAAGCACCCTTTAAGAAAAGCTTTTCCCTCAATCTGGTTGTTAAAGTGCTCGGCGTATATTCATTTTGTAATACATGTCCTGATCAAAGGCATCTCTACAGCAAAGCAAGTGGTGAGTGCTTCTGGATTATTCATTCGGTTTAGGAATTTATAGCTTTAAACAAGGGGAGAAGATTGCACTGGTTCCGTTTTGCTTGTAAATGTTTAACCACCAGTACATGATCTGCGTGTGTGTGTTTGTGTGTGTGAAGCACTGCTGGGTTAATGCTCAAAGTGCTGACTTCTCTAGAGCTCTAAGTAAACTGATTCAGTTCAGTAACTGAGTTAAATGTGACACAGTTCCTTGCAGATAGAACTATAAAACAGACTAAACCGAGGAACAGTTCATATGTAAAAATGCACGTTCCACCTTTTTAAAAGGTAGGGATTTGCCCAAAACATGAAATATTACAGAAATATTAACAATAGAGCAATGGCAAAAAAGCAAAAATACTCTTACTTCATGCTTTCCAAAGAGAGAATCAGGTAGTCTCATATATGCTGTTTTTTTTTTTTAAATAATTAACCAAATTTTGACTTTAAATGTGTTAAAGCTATAATACATTCTGATATCTGCCTGTTCTGTGATTACAGATCCAGGATTTATCTTCATTCCCTTTCAAAGCTCTACACAATGAAATTCCAACAATCTCTGATTGTTCAGAAGTAAGCTTCCAAGAGATTTAATGGTCGGTCTCTGCATATATATTTATCATTACTCCTCATTTCCTCTCTTCTTCCAGGGGGACCATCTTCTACCTCCTCAGTGTGGTTGGGGGCCTCCTGGTGACTCTGACTGCTGGTGGTCCCTGTGTGGATGTGGTTGTGAGGACGGCCCAGAGCCCCGATAACCTGCTCCGCCTCTCAAAGGCGCTCATCGGGCTAATGGGCCTCAAATGCCAAAACCGAGTGGTAAAAACAGCCTTTTCGGCTGTATGTTCAGAAGAAGAATACGTTTCCCCGCAAATATTAGCTGATCATCGGTTTATTTTGTCTTGCAGGCTGGCCCTTTGGTGAAATCCAGACTGAGAAGGCTCTGCTTCACCGACAGGTTCTAAGGGAACTGGGTTACTGCATTCATACACATTCAAAAATGACGCTTTTGGGACAAATTTTCTAAACGGTTCCCCCGTGTTCATTCCAGTTTTTGCAGTCTCCTCGATATGACAAGATCATCAATGCCAGGCTCGTGGGTTTTCGTGGTTTTATGGGACTTCCCGAATTCCACCGAGGGGCAAACAAACCTGAAGTCGACGCCTACTCACTGGATAGCTCCCAAAAGGTATGAAGATGAAAAGCAAAACGTGTCACATTTGGATTTTATGTTACTTTTAAAGTTTTGACAAGAGTAAATTAGCATGTGAGCTTTCTTTGCTTTTTCTCTTGGCATGGCCGAAGGCCACAAAGCAACAACTTAAAAGATCATACTTAAAAAAATCTGGGCAGACGTGAGCTTTTTATCCTCCCAAACTCTCGTTTTCTCAGCCACTGCTCATTACTGAAAACCACATTTAGTCACGTCAGTGGCTGAAAGCTTCTATTTGTTGTCTTGCTCTGTGGTCAGGTGCAGGATTATTTTCATCCTCCTTTGCGGTGAGAGCAGCCAGCTCATACTGTGCATGAGTAGTGGAAGCCGGCTGAGGTCATACGACTCCACGAATAAACTTCTGAACTTCGTCCGAGGGGCGCGGGCTCAGGGAGACGTGGTAAGCCGCGGGGGATCACCGCCGCTCACCGCGAATGCATTCGGGGGCTACCGTTTAAGATTCCGCCTTTTTTCGTCGTCAGGTTTACCTTTTAGTGGGCGAGCACATGGGACAAAACGGAGCTGGATGCGAGACTATGGCAGCCACACGGGAGAGTTACCCCACAGGATCCGCCCTGCTGCTGTCGGCCCTGTCTGCCGCCCTGCTCTGGATGTTTCTGCCTCACATGGCCCTCTGTGCTGGACTCTGTTTGGGCTGGAATATTCTCAAAAGCATGCACTGAGATATGCAGCCACGCAGAGGCTTGAAATAGATATTCGTAACTTTTTGGAGCTCAGGAACAATGCAATGGCTGTATTGATTTTTAGGGGTTTTATGAAGATGATAAACACTAGACTAAAAACACTCAACTAAAACCAGTGTTTTGTCACACCACCAACCCACACACAGTAAATTACACAGGCAATCAGCTCAGTGCTGATATTTGCAGGCAGAAAGAGAGAAAATAACCTCCCTACTCCGAGACACTTGGAATATAATTGGCTTTTCCTCTAAAATGTGTTTTTCGTATAGTGTTTCTAATATTGTGGTTGTTTTTCTGTGCTTCATGTTGCCTCCCTCGAGTTATTTCTGAATGGCTTTAAGGCTGAACGTGCCATTGTTTTTCATTACAAGCAAATAAAAACTGCATTCATTTGTTGAAATGAATGAATGGTTAAAATGTATTTTATCATAGTATCTATGTATCGTTCTTCTCTTAAGCATTGTTCCCAAGCAACATCGAATACATTTGCATCAGCGAGGAAACTGTGTGTTGCAAACCTGTCCCAAGTTTCCTCCAACTCAAAGGACACCAGGCCGTTCTGCACGTTCCTGACCGCCACGTTATCGAGGACACTCCACTGTGCGTCTCTGGACCCCAGAAGAATCAGCGACTCACCGGAAATCTCCTGAGACTTCAAAGGGTCATTCATGGTTCTGACGGGGACATAAAAAAACCCACACATCTAAAATGAAAGCCACAAGAGTTTTTTATAGGCGATTTGAACATTTTTTACAACACAGTGCCTGTAAAATCCTTTATTTCTACATGCACAGTCTCCTACAGTCTTTCGATAACAGAAATAACAGAAATGAATAATTAACCTACCTCAGTCTGGCAGGGGAGGGTAAAACAGCACGAATGGTCTGACGTTGGCAGTTCGGGTGGTCTTGCCCTCTGGCCTCCCTATTTTTTTCAGGGTTCGGGGGACAGGGAAGCGTGATGGTGAGGGTTCTCCTGAGGGGCTGAGTGTTCGGGTGGGTGAGGTAGAGCAGAGGACTGGAGGACACCACCGGTCTGTAGGCATCATTTCTCGACCTGACGGCGGCCAGGAGAACGGCGTCCACCGGCTGGACCTGAGGCAGATGAGGAAAACATCTGTTCTGCACGATTCAGGCAGCAATTTGGATAAAGGCGCTGATTGATGTTGGAAAACTTTTTTTTTCTTCTGACGCTTTAATTTCATCGACAGCATGTTTCGGTTTTCTTAATTTATTTTCTTTTTTCTTATCAGAGGGAGCTGTGCAGAGTGGGAGTTGGTGCTTTTTGATGGAAGATAAAGCAACAAACCGCTGCAGAGTAGTTAGTTCACCAATAATTGGACTCGCATGTCACTCGCTGTTTGTTTTTTATTCTAATCGCGCAGCAAACATCTGTGACAGTCGGAGAATTAGAAGCAGTCTGTTCCCTTTTCCCCTGCTTTCTCTGAGCAGCTTTCTGCGATGCATCGAATTCTACTGTGAACAGCTTAACATTCTGTTGCAATTGCTCACCCCCAACAAGTTCTGACTTTTGTAAACCTGCCCATCAAACCTGCCCAACATAAGTGTATGAGAAAAAAAATTGAGAAAAATCCTTGTACCATTGTTTGTGCCATTACAGGAGCAGTGAAGGATCCCGGGAGGTAATTTAGGCAGATCCGAGAATCCATGGGGAGTTTCAGTGACAGCCCCCTCTTGGGAATGATGTAATTTTCTCGCTTTAGGCAGTAGACCACTGCAAAAAGACCCAGTGAGTACACCTTTGCTTCTGCAAACGTGCCCTGAAAAAAGACACAGGAGTCACATTATCTAGAAATATTTCTATAAACATCTGTGAAATGTATTGATAGAAAATGAGAATGCTGTGAGAGGACTTAAGATGGCACATTTGCCCTTAAAGGCAGCACAGGTCCTCTGTTTTCACAAAGTGGACTCAACCAGCTAGATCCCAAACAGAAAGAAGGTGTCACATTTCATACTGAAACATCAGTGGGTTTGTTCCGATCGTGGTCAGAGCGCTTTTCGCAGGTTGTGCGCTGGTGATGTTTATCTGTGGTTGATGTTCTGAAACCCCACCTAACCGAAACCAGGATGTGGGGTCTGTACTGAAGACCATCGTCGTTCTGTGTGTCAGTGTGGGTTTGGGCCTGTGTGGTTTCAGGACTAAAGAGGCGATTGGGTTCTTTTATTCTTCCTGATTCCTTTCTTAACCATTTAAGACATTTTGTTGAGATTTCTTTCATATGAGAAGTGTTTTATGATTGATTAATCGATAAATATGAAGTAAAGCAAAGTAACCTTGGTGTTCCACCAGCTGCAGCATCTTGAGACTCATGCAGAAGTCAGGCCAAAAGTACACTGTTCAACCAAGTTTTTCTTTACTTTCAGATAGATTTTGTAATCCCTGATGAGGCTTTCTTCTTTGCTTTGCTATTTCTTCTAAAGAGCCTATCCTGCCAGTGGAAGTGAACTTCCATGTGGACGACAGAACTATAAATAAATGGTGGTTTCCCCAAACTTTCGTCAAACATGTCAACTTTTAATAACAGATGGAGCTGGTCTGACAGGAAATTCTAAATCTGAAGAATAATGAGAGATCAGATCATAGAGGTTTCTGTTTGAGTTGGTGGACGTAGGAGTGAAGATTACCTGTCGCCCTCCGTGCACACCCTCTGTTGTCACGGGGGTGACGTAGCTCACCCTCCTCTCCTCGCTGATTATCTTCACGGCGACGTCCCTGTAGCTGCCGCGGTGCCGCACACAGAACGGCACGGCCACGGTCAGGGGAAAGTGGAAGCTGGCTCCGCTTTGGCCCTCGACGCGGACCACTCGGCTGACCAGCTCCTCCGAGCCGGACACCATCAGGCAGCTCAGCTGGTCAGCCGTCTCGCACCTCAGGACTTTGGCGACAGCCGCGGGTGCTCTGATAAAACAGCCGTCCGCTTCGTCCGGGCAGCTGCCCTCCATCTGACCGGTCAGCCTATGGATTGAGGGAAAACACACACACACACACACATCTATTAATGGGTGCTAATGTCTTCATACATTGGTAACCCAGAACCTTTTTCAAATTCTGCCAAGAAACAAGAGAGTAATCTATCAGCATAATCCCCGTCTTTTAAAAAGCTGGAGCATGCATCATTTTTATGTCTAAACTTTTCCAAAACACATTTTTATCCCTCTTGTTAGAATTATTGTGTTGTGTAGAGTTATTGTGGGGTGTAGCATGCATGTGCTTCTGTTTCACTGAGCAGAAGTGAAAGATGTGATTTGTGTCCTGGGACATAAGCCAGTTTGATTTGAAAAAAAAAAGTTTTGTCAGTAACATTGCTCAGTATAGGTTTTTGGAAAGAAAAAGCTTTGAAAAAAGTGCAACATTTGATCAGATTTTGGTAAAAACTTGCATGATATTCTTCATCATACAGTCCGAACCAGAATTTAGCTTGACTTAATTAAATACATTTGAGGAGTTTCTGCTTTCACTCAGGCGGGTTTTTAAGCCTCCCGGCTCGAGACAGCAGAACTCTCCCTAAATGAAAAAAGACCCCCTATAACTGTAAGTTCAGGGGTAAAAGAATATGAAAGATTTTAATTGAGCCAGCTTACCCCACTGTGACCCATTCCTCCTTTTCCTCTTCTTTTTTCATAAAGTTTTTCTCCTCTCTTTTCTCTTCTGTCTCCTTCTGTGTCTTTTCCTGTTTATTGGCCTGACAGTGGACAGGTTTCTCTGGAAAGTTGAATACTGGCTGTTTGACTGGTAATTGTCCTCTGTTCTCTTCCACCTTGTTGCAGTCAGAAATCCTGAGTCCCGTCTCTGGTACTTTCTCAGAGCCAGACGATGGGCGCGTGGGATGCTGATCGTCCTCAGCCTCCGGCTCACCCCCAAAAGGAATTTCTACCGGATTATTCCCGGTTCCTTCAGCTTTTGGCGCCTGAGAGGATACGGAAGAGTCTGTGCCTTTTGACTCTGGAAGACCCTCAGCAACGTTGGCTGAGGCGCTATCTGAAGATAACTGGAGAACTACCAAATCCAGCTCTGTGATAATTTGTTGCAGTTTGTCCAAAATGTGCTCCATGTCTTCTTCAACACTGTGGAAAATGTCGCTGAGGTTGTCTGATTTGGGCCTGGTTTTACATCCTGAAATACATGAAACACAATGAAAATATTCTTGCATTCTTTTATAAGAAATACTGGTCAGTAAGCTGATACACCTTTCCCAACCATATGGCAGCATCGCTTTATTAGTATTCTAATTTTGGACCTGCTACTTTTTCCTTGCTTTTCTACTAGATCATGTTCATACAACAGTTCCTGTCCTCACAGAGAAATCACAGTGTCCCTGTTATCAATGAGCTAGTGAAGGTTTGTCCAAAAAAATCCTGCTTTTGTGATGTTTTATCTGAAAAATGTACACTTTCTGGGAAGATTTTTGTTGATTAAAATGCTAAATCTGCCACGAAATTCTTCACCCGTGTAGACTTCACACATGAGAATCACTCAAAGATCGAACGCTATTTAAATTTCTTCTTTTTTCACAAAAGGAGTTTTTAGGGCATTTTCTATGTTATTGGACTTAAATATTTGAAAGCCAATGAGCGAAAAACAACTGTTTTATGTTTTCAAAGGCTGCCTTTATCTTTTTCTAGGCCGCCTTTAGCTTTTTCTAGGCAACCTTTTGCTTTTTCTAGTCTTCCTCAACTTTCAAACATCACCAGTGATCAAACCTGCTGTGGCTGGACGCCGCTGAACGCCGCCCCCTGGTGGAGACGTCTGGAGCATGAAGGCACATTCTCTGATGACCCCTCTCAGAGCCGTCAGTTTGTCGGCCTGAGAAGCTCCCAGCTCTCTCAGCACGCCCACCGCCCGGTGCACGCGCGCTTTCTCCTCCTGCTCTTTATCGACGCTCCTCCTTTCGTCCCCCGTCTGATCTTCTGATGGACCGAGCTCCCCTCCTCCTCCTCCTCCTCCTCCGCCCCCACACGCCGATCCTCCGTGATGGTTTCTGCTGCGTCTGACACCTTCAGGCCTCTGAGCAGCCTCGGCCGACATGACGGGACTGTCCTCGCTCATTTTTCCTAGTGGGAAGTTTCCCCGGTTGATGTTTTCTTTCTCACATGCATCCAGGAGTCGGAACTTTCTCATTGGGGCCTTTTTTTCCTAACCCTTTTGTCAGTCCATCCGCCATATAGCAAATAAAACTAATCCCTTTGATGAAATTCTATCAATAACATCAATTATTCCTTCTGAGGCTCCTCTTAGGTTTGAAGCTGAGGCACCCCCGGTTTCCCCTGTCCTTGCTTTTCAGTGTGACGGTATCCTAGGCAATCCCGGTTTTCAGGGGGGCAAAGACGTATTTATCTTGCTGCCAGCAGTAAAACGTGTTGCCAAGGTGACCCCCTGGAAGAGGTGGGCTGGACAAAAGAGGACACACAAAGCAGAAAAGGCTTCAAGGGGGAACTCTGCCCTCTTCGGCTGTTGTGCCACCCATTTTAAAGCTCATGTGTCATACAACCCTGAATCATAAAAACTAACCCAGTCATGATGATTTCCATCATATTTTCTATTTGAAACGGCTGAAATGTGATAGTTTCACAGTTGATAGGTCAGTTAGGCTGAGCTCAGTGGAGGCTTTGGAGCCCTTTATCGAAGCACAAAGCCCACAGACAAAACCCCCGTAAGGGGTGGCATTTTGTGGGCGTCTGTGAAATTTCTGGACTTGTGGTGCTTAAAAGGACGGAAGGAAAGAAGAAAAAAAGTCCCTGAAAACATCAGACACATAAAATATTCAAACAAATGGCAAGCAGCCGGAGCTTTGATCAGATTTTATCGGCATGCTTATTCTTTAAAAAGTCAAAACCGTGTTACATCACAGTTTTAAAATTCAAAGTAACACAACATTGCATATGAAGAAGCACTTACACAGTGTTCAGGTTACGATTTCTGCCTGTGCTGGACCTTTTTTAATGGAGTCAAGTTCACTTTTGGAGCCAGACTGCAGAGCTGCGACACTTTGTCTCCATCATGTGGCTGATTGGAATCACTGTCCCCCTGCGTCTGAGCCAAGAAACACACAGTGTGGTTCACTTCACACCAAAACTAGAGTAACATTCACACTGAGCCGGCATCTAAACACTTTTTCTAAAAGTTGAATTAATGAAAATAAGGGTTTAAAAGAATGATCTGTCCTGGACTTAGTTTTAATTCACCTTCAGTGTTTTTTTTGTAACCTGTTGATGGGACTATCTGGAAGCTTATGGTTTAGTTTGAGCCTTAAAACTAAGAAGATGAAGGCTAGTCTCATATTTTTTCATTTTATTGTCATTTGTCTCTATAATGAACACAGATGCTGCAAATAATTACTTGTACAATAAATAAGTTCTGGTAGATTTGGTCTCTTTTCTCTTAAATCAAACTTAAAATATGTTGAGTTTATTCAACTTTTTGAAAATTGACGTTAAGTGACCCTGTTTATTCCACCATATTCCAAATTGTGTTCTTTTTTTTTCCTTAAAAGAAAAATAGTAAGAGAAAGAGTTAACTATACAGCGTGATGTATACTTTTTGTATTATGATTGTGTTTATGATGGACAATCCTGCTAACATGACATTTTGAATGAGAAACACGTTGGTTGTTCTTCATAAACACACACAAAATTCAGACACATATTTGCTGCCCAATAAAAAGGAAAATGAAACAACGTGTGTTTGTAACCGGCTGCATTCCTGCTGGTGCTGAATGCATAGCCCGGAGCCCTCGGGATCAAGCTGGGACACGCCGGACTTCGCAGCAAAAGCACCACTAATGCCTCCAACTTTCACCTCCACCACCTTCGCCATTGTTCCCGGGAACCGTCCGAGCTCAGACACCGCTGGACTCTTCCTCCCCTCCCGAGTGGGCCAGTTTGAAGGCAGGTAAGAGGCGTTTTGACGCGTTTTTGGTCCTCCGCCATTAAAAAAAAAACTTTTATTACCAGTCCGCGTTAGTGCCCGCGCGCCTCCCTCTCTCCTGTTGGGCGTGGATATTTTTTTTTTTTTTTTTTTTTTAAATTTCAACAGCGGAAACCAGCGAGTAAGTGTGAATTGAGCAGCAATTGAAACTGATGGTGGCAGGAAAGGGGAGTTTGGGGGTGAAATAGGAGGCGTGCGGGTGAAAAAGCCTCGAAGTTTCTCTGTGTTCAGCCAGCAGGTAAGCGTAGCAAACGAACGTGCGTTTGCGCGAGACGCCGCGGGAATACGACGATTCGGTGTGTGTGGGTGTGTGTGTGTGGGTGTGTGTGTACCGGGAGTCAAAAGCGACAAAAATCTCTGTGCTTACTGTAACGCCAGTCTTCACCGCCGGCTCGGCCTGTTCTTTCACTCTCTTTACGTTTTATTTTTGGTGTAACGTCCATTATCCTCAAGTGTAAACACAAATGAGCTCAGCCGCACGTGCGCGTGTTGCTGCCACGCTCGCCTCTCGTCCAATCAGATGAGCCATCCCCCAAAACAGTACTTATTAAGTTTTGAGCAATTATCTTTCACAAGCGGCCTTTGTTGGTCGACTTCCCCCGAGATTGCAGTGTGTGTTGTTGCATCTTTTTTCTGGACGCGTGCTGCTGTTGCAACACGTGCACGGGCATTTTCTTCTCTCTCTAACCAGGAAGGATAAACGTTTGGACTTTGCCCGAAAGGATGCACAGAAATATGAGGGACTTCTGTGTTGGTGTGCATGCACGAACGTGCATGTTGTGTGACTCACTGTGCGGAACAGCCCTACCTGTAGCACACACACACACATACACACACACACACACACACACACACACACACACACACACACACACACACACACACACACACACACACACACACACACACACACACACACACTTCCAGCTGCAATCAGGGGTGTGTTTAAAGGAGAAAACAAAGTGCTGGGTTCCTGGAAGTTGTGTGCTTGCCTGTTTTTTGTGTGTCTGTTATGCCTTGTATGTACACACATGCTCTTCACATGTCAGCACACCCATGTGACACAGGCTGAGCTGCTAAACAAAGCTAGCTGTTGTGCTCTGCTATTGATCCGTGGGTTTGCATGGCCGGAGGCATCCGCGGATCAAAACTCGCACATCCATTCTGTGATGGCGAGCGTGTTATGGTGGTGCACAGGCCTGGAAGCACTCAGGCAGAAGGTTGGTGTGTGTCCGTACCGGCTGTGAGACAAATACACTCCTTTTCTACTCTTCTATTGGTGCAGTGGTCGGTTGGGCTCCTCTGATAGGCTGTATAGATTTCTATAATGGAACTTTATCCAGTCATGTGTACCACATATTGTGCCTGCATCCTCATATCTGATGATGCAAAGCAATGTGGAGTTGAAGGGTGCTGCCAATGGTAAGAAAACATCTTTTTTAAAGTGAACTTTGGTGTATGAGGAGCTTTATGCTGCGTCAAAAAAAAACTTGTTAACTAGACACATGCATAGTAATTGTATCAAGTTGAAAGCAGAAGTAACACTCTGCTTTAATTTCAAGTGTTGTCGATTAGCTATACAAAAGGGAAGTTGACATGTCAACGGGCTGATGCTTCTGTATCTTTCTGTAGATTCTCAAGAGTGGAAAAAAAAGAACTATGAATAGTACCGGTTGTGCCACTCATTTCACGTTCCAGTGTTGGAGGAGAAGCTAATGCCGTGAAAGCATCAGGAAGCCAACATTTGCTACACCGTGGGTTGTGCAAGTTGCCGGGCAGTGAACCAAGACTGGATTATTAGAGTCTGCTCTAGTGGCTGCTAAAAAGAAGGGGTAAAAAAAAGAGGGCAATCATCTCTTTGAAGACTTCAAATTGTGTAAGTTTCTATGCTGACTGCTGTTTCCTCCAAGCTATAGCTGTTTCCTGCTGCATCTGTCAGGACTGTTGCAAATGTACGTCGAATTTCTTTTTTTTTTAAAGCAACCATTGACGCAGAGGTTTGCAGCTGAACGGCATGATGTCCCAAACTATTTATTGCAACTTCCTGAAGTCTACCACCACAGTTTTTTCACCCCCTTCCCCCTAAACCAAATCTTTGTTTGTTTTAGTTTTTCCCACACAGACACTCTTTCGAGACTCTCGGTAAGAAGTGATACAGATTCGATTTGGGGAAAAAGTAGAACTGCTCCTTTACGTGGGGTTTCTGTGGTGCATTTTATTGAAATCGACACGCAAACCTTTTCGTTTTCACCTGTAGCCCCTGAAAGGTAAAAATCTGTAATCTTGGTTCCATGTCAGACATTACATTTAAACCTTCTTATCTTCTCTGTGCCCACAGTGTAACGCTGGACTTCTCTGTGATCTGCGGGCACTCCTAATGCAGCAGTTGTTGGATTAGAGCACCATGTTGGAGCCTTCAGAGCCCGGCCTGGAAATCGTGGAGTGGCTCTCCACCCTCCGCCTGTCCCAGTATGCTGCCTTTTTCCAGCAGGGAGGCTATGAAGCTTTGGAGGACTGCAAGGACCTCACAGAAGAGCGCCTCATGGAGCTCGACGTGCTGCCGACGGGCCACCGAAGACGCATCCTTCGGAGTTTGCAGGCGCTGGGCGTGAGGCAGCAGAGTGGAGAGGAGGATGAAGACGAAGGGGGAGGGCCCGATGACAAGAGGGGTCAAAGGAAGCCGATGCCGTATCCAAGAAATGTCTTCATGAAGGACAGAAAAAGAGGGACGTCCTGCCTGCAAAAGCCGTCTGCAAAGGAAAAGACGGACTACGATTTGGGAGGGAGTCGGACTTTGCCAGTGGGAGCAGGAATGGGAGCAGATCCCGGGGACCTTTCAGACAGACGTCACCCCCTCCTGCCTCTGCCGGCCCCGCGGGACCCCAGAAACATCCAGAAATCGGCGTCGGGACGCACCTGCTCTCCTATCCCCACGGACTCCAGCAGCGAGTCCCTCTCCGGCTCGGAAATGCCCTCAGATTGGGAGGTTTCTTCAGAGGTGCCCACCTACTCCAAAGTCGGCTCCGAGGCCCTCCTCCCTGCTCTCATCGAGGACCGCGAGGGCTTCAGTGGCGAAATGGTGGACAATTTAATCTACGATTCACAGCCCACTGTTCCAGCTCCCACAGGCCCACGACTCACTCGCTCCTACAGATTAAGGCACCGACCCGTTCCCGAAATCCCGAACCGGGAAGTTTTGCCTCCTCAGGACAGGTACCGCTGTTCAATTTCCTCCTGAGACACGTGGGGAAATCTGTCTATTTTAGCTAAAGCACAGCTCTGATCTGTGTTTACCAGTTAGCTGATGTTTGCGCGAATACTTTGGCCTAGTGTCGGACCGCTCTGAGCGTATAACTCTATGTGGTTTATTAAAAAATGTTGGTACATGTTGGTCCTCTCATGAGGTAAATATGCTCTAAAGTCAGTAGATGTAGTCGGCAGCGTTGTGAGCCAATGGCCATCCCTCCCCTGGCTCTGTATTGATGTGCTTTGTGTCTGTAATGATGACAGTGGGTCGATGCGGCGTGCCTGTGAAATCAGAGCAGACTGCAGCGGGGGGGTGGGTGGGGGGGATTGGAAGTGTTGCATTCAGCATGCTGGTTAACGGCGGGTGGGAAACACAGAATATTTCTGTTGGCACGGCCCCACCAATCCACCAATCGGGCGGCATAGAGAGAAGCAGACAGAAAATGACATTTTAGTGCCGCCATGGCACGAATAATCCAAATAAAAACCCATCTGTTCATGTCTGGTGGGTTTAGGGTGAGGACAAATCTCACACACAGAGTTTGTTAGATGTACCCTGTATCCAACCTCTGAACTGTTAGGCTAACTTTTGGCTCTGTGAGTTGTGCTCTGAAGGAGGCCTTTACGTTTGCTTGGCATTTTCTTCCCGCACACTGCACGGCTGCTTCTAATCTGTTTATTATATTTTTTCCTTTTTCTTCCTGTGTGCTTCCTCCTCAGGAGTGTGCCGGCAATGCAGCCAGTCAGCCACGAACACCTACCCGACTCAGACGGTCCCACCGGTGCAAACGGCGTTCAGAAAGGTACGCTCGCATCTCCGGCATGAATATTTCATGCGCAGCCGCGTCAGCCGTGCTGTTGTGTGCCCGGATGAAAGCGCGGGGGGGGGGGGGGGGGGGGGGGGGGGGGGGGGGGGTGTTTGGAGGCCGTGTCGTGGGAAAAGCCGGCACCCTTCATCTCACAGGGAATACGCTCCCTCACATCGTGTTCCTCGGGGAGGCCCGATGCAGCCTTGTCGCACAAAGTCTTTTGTTTTTTTTCCCCGACTTTCCTGACAACACGTGTGAAACAACCAGCGCAAATAAGTTTTCGGATGCCTCCCCCGCTGACTTTATTGGGCTGAGGCAGTCTCTCCTTTTTCCTGTCTCTTCTGCGGACGCCGGCTGCCATGTGGTAGCCTTTTTGTTAGACGTCGTCAGTTCAATTCAATTCAATTTCATTTATATAGCGCCACATCACAACAAAAGTTGTCTCACAGCGCTTTCCAAACAGAGCAGGTCAGACCCTACTCTGAAGTTAACTACAGAAACCCAACAATTCCCACCATGAGCAAGCACTAGGTGACACAGGCAAGGAAAAACTTCCTTTTAACGGGCAGAAACCTTGAGAGGGATGGGCTGAGAGAAGAAGCCACGTGGGCTCCCCACCAGCTACCTGAGATTCCCTTCACACCGGGGTCTAAAAAGGTGTTCTTTAGACATAAATTTAACAGATCATATGTGAAAATTTTATTCCAGGGTGAGATATTGAGCGTACTAGACGCGTCTCACAGAGTGATGGTTGTTTTCAGTCGAATCCCGCTCGTGGATGTTGGCAAACAGCTCGTCTCCTCCTCTCTAAAAGCTGCACCTCCCTCCGTTTCGGCCCCGTTTCTTCAGCAAGCAGATAAGCCCTTTGATACAGCGAGATACATACATAATCCCGAATAGCTGACTGCACATAGGCTGCTTGGTTGAAGCAGTTCTCTCAGAAAATATCAGAAATCTGAAGAGTTTTTTGCTTTGGTGTCGGACGGACCCGCGCACACCTCTCCGGGGAAATCACAGTAAACCTTTTATTAGATATCCCCATTTTCCAGGGTTTGGGCAGAAAATGAGCGCGTCTGAAAACCCCCCGAAATGCAGCAGTTTTGGGTTTCCATCTACAGAAGATTTCAGGCTATGCTCGCCCATTCTCTGAAAATCAATGAGAGCATGCAAAGCGCAAACAGAAATGAGTGCCGCTTCCCTCCTCTTCCCTGGGCTGACACAGTTCAAAAGCCTTCCATCTGATTCAAACCGCTTCAACAGAAGTTCCTTTGACAGACCCGGTTGTAAGTCCAAGTATTTCCCCTCTAAAGGCACCTGCTTTTTGAAATTCAGTTCATTCTAATGTAAAAGCTGACTTATTATCTCTGATACATGAAAAGAGAGCCCCTTTGTTCAGGTGCCAGTGATGGATCCAAGGGTTTGGGTGTATGCTGCTGTCCTCAACCCCTTACAAACATGGCTCAGCTCAAATTTTCCGGCAAAGCGATCCTTAATTAGCATCCCAAGTGACAGTTTCAGAGGTCAAGCTCCAAGCTAAGAGGAGGTTTTTGTTCATCGGAGGTTTCTTAGGAAACAGAGCATTGAGCTCAAAAACAGGAAAAAGAGCACATTGTTAAAAGACCAGCAGCTCTCTTCACTGATAGAAAGAAAACTACATCGCTGATACAGAGTTAGCTCATTAGAATGAGTTAAATGGGAAAAACGGCACTAATCAGTGACATTGCCATAGCGATCTCAGGATGAATATCGGCTGCTTTTTGAGGAAATTAAATTTCAATGCAGTCCGTTCACTCCTCAGGCCCCTGCTATCCGAATCCATCCGATTTTAGCGCTAGCCAGTGTTTTCCACAGTATCCATGGGCTAAACCTACACCATCCTGTGGAAATAATATTCAGCAACAAGCCGTGTCTTTGCACACGTCCGCAATGGATTGGGCATCCTCTTTTCTTTTATGTTCATATGGACAAACAGTCCAACCCTCAGCGAGCCGTCTGATGCACTCATTTCAAATTTAGTGCTTCCTCTGTCCCCTCCGACTTTGCCTTTTGTTATTTCTTTTGTATTCCTATAATACCTGGGTTTTTGTCATTGTTTTTTGTTGTTTTGTCTGCTGCCAAGCCTCCCAGTGCACACACTGAGATGACAGCATCTATATCTGTACCTCCACCCAATTTCCCTATCATAAAAACTACCTTTGGTCAACAAAACTGTAGCCTGAGGTGAGTAATTGGGTTATCATATGTTTCTTCTTGGCCTCATTGTAGAGTTAAAGTGTCCATACTTGATGTATTTTTCCGTCCGTGTTGACAATTAAGGATTTTTTTTCATCTTTTACTTTTCTAAAATCCCCATATCTTCATATCGGCTTGCTAATTCAATAGTTGTCATAATTTTGTGCTTCTACTGTCAAAAAACGCTGCAAGGTGAGGGCCTTTCACACCCACTGTGAGGATGGTGCGCCCCCTAGTGGAGGTTTGGACCCCAGATTTATTGCAATGCTTTACAAGCGAGCTGCAAATGTCTTATAAGATCTTTGCTTCTTAACCTGCCGCTAATGATTCTGACAGTAAAGAAGGCATGGACAAAATAAGAAAAGAGAGTGAAGTCAGTTTGCTTTCCTCTTTGTAGTTCTACAACTTCTGAGGTAAACAAACAGATATTTACTGTTGGCGTAATTTAACTTTTTTAACAACTTTTCCCACCTTTTTTCTCACTGAATTAATATCCACAGAAAAATAAGCATTAAGTATTTTGGAGACTAATTTCAATTTTGTGGTTGTGCATGCTCGCAGAACAGCGTGGAAGCATCTCCATACTCTACACAGCTCCATACTCCGGGGCCGACCGACTCTGGTCACGCTCAGATAAAGGAGAAACCGAGAGAAACGAAAAGGCAGATGCTAGAGACTCTGCCAGTGAGGGAGGAGTGCAGGAAAGTCGGACAGGAATAGAGTACGGTGGCGCCCGGCGGCCCTCGGGGAGATGCACGAGTGGCCCGAAGGTCGGCTGATAGAAGATGATTGATGGTCGCTATCAGCCCACCAAGACTGTCCTCAGAGGGCCGCCGTGTTGGAGTGCATTCTATCATCAAATATATACTGACCTCTTTGGGAGCCTTACACACAGCCGGTACAAGCCCTGCGTGTTCCCCTGTACCGGCCCGCGTTGTTCGGAAGTGGGAATTTATAAGGTTTTGAAGAGAGAATCTGCTCATTTAGCCAGCCATCCTTTAATGTCTGTGTTTGTCTCAATGCATCTGATGATGTTTCGATCTCTGCGTTTTCTTATCTGTCGCTCCACCACTGTTTGCTGTGTGTGCGTGTGTGTGTGTGTGTGGCCTGTGGTGGCATCTTCTGGCCATCACAATCCTCAGGAGATGGTAGTGTCATTTTTCACAGTGACAGGCAGCAGCCCACGCAGGGTGGCCCCAGGCCTCCAGACTAATAGTGTCTGGCTACAGTCTCTCCTCCTCCATTTCGTGTTTTTTTTTTTTTTTGTCGCTTCCGCACACACCACAGATCCTGCAGGAAGGAAGGCAGAGCAAACGCTTGTTGGCAGCGGCTCCGTCCGCTCGGGACGGGCCGAGGAGGATCGCACTCCCATTAGTGGGCTGGAAGAGGGCCGTGTCATAGAGGGAGACGCACGCCAAAGCAGAACTTAATTGTCCCACGTGCTAGCGCGCATCAAGAGCCGACGCATTTATTCAGATCAATGAGTTGGTTTAATGAAAGAGCACTATAACATCTAAGCGATTTCCAATTTAGCTGGAACAATCCGGTTAAGCCGCTTAGTTTTCAAGCACCACGTCCAGGCCTTCACGCTGCGTTTTTCAAGTTTCGGCTCTTTGACAAAGCCACCGTTGTGTTATTTCTGTGTTCCTTTTTAGCTCCGCTTCAAAGAGCCTTGATGCCTAGTGCTTCCTACGGGGATACAAGCCTGCACAACAACCCTGAAACTACTCCGGTAAGATGGCTCGTGCACACACACACACACACACACACACCCACACCCACCCACTTGTGGCCAGTGACAAGCAGCTTGCCAAAGAGGAACTGACATTTCTCAGATCTTCTGCACTATCTCAGTTGTTCGGCCACATTCCCCCCCCAAACGTCCCCCTTCTGTGTTAATGATGTCACCATGGTCACACGGCGGTGGAAATGTGCTAGTTTCATTGTGCTCCCGGAGGTTAATTGAAATGTCACCGAGCCACTAAAGTTAACATAGTTTAGTGCACCCTCCGTGATAACGCTGTCCGAAAGATGGACACCTTCTTTTCATCTGATGCTAATCTCGTCGGTGTTTCTGCAGGACCAAGGTGCTAAACAAGGGCTGCCGAAGGGGTTCAAAGCCAAGATGATACAGAGGAAACCGAGGTAATGTGCACAGACGCAACGTTGCTCTTCCTCAATCTGGATAAGCTGCAGGTTTCTGTGGTCACCCGCAGTCAGACCAGCATGTTACAAAACCAAAAAAAAACACCAGTCTTAGGCTACTGCTTTGCTAATCGCAAAGTTGACATTGTCAAGGCAGTTTTAACAAGGGGGACCCATTATCTCTCACTTCCTATTTGAGATAGAAGAGCGTTTAAAAACAGAGCGGTTTGACATTTTGGGAAACACGATTGTTGGCCTTGCTGAGATTTAGATGCAAAAAAATCTTTTGGGATTTTTTTTTTTTTTTTTTGCAAGCTAAATAAGAGTTCAGGGCCAAAAGGTTGTTGGTTTAGTTTAGTTTTCTAAAACTTAAGCCATGACTTTCAGGAGTTTAAATGCATCTGCATAGAAGTATGAATGACTTAGTTTGACAGATACCAGCGCCAGATTACATCTCACTGATAAGTCAGAGGCATTTGATGACAATTGCGCTCAGTTTTCCAGTTATTTAAGTTATTTCCATTTATTTAAGCTTCCTGTACTGTCTGTCCTGTGTCACTGTGACTTTATCTAAATTCATGTCACTCATTATAAAAATGTAAATGATTCTAAAACCAATGAATGCCATTGTCATTTCTGTATTTTAAAAAAATGTTTTTGCTTCTGTTTAATGGCAGAATTGAATCCTACAGTGACACAAACAAGTTTCTTTCAGTTTTCATGAAAGAATCGATCGTTTGATTTGCACTCGTGCAGAAAAAAGTCGCCGGAAAAGGTGTGCCCGCCGGCCCCGACCGTCCCAGATCCCTACGAGGACGAGTACTCCACAGTGGACGAGTGCGCCGGTATCCCCGGCCCCGAAGACGGCTCCATGGTCATGGTGGACTGCGACCTGTACTCTGAGCCTGCCGACGCTCTGGGAGCCGTCACCAAAAACGCGATGCCCGACATTTCTCCCTACGCGTGCTTCTACGGAGCGCCCAAACCCCAAGTTCTCAAAGTGGGCTGGCTGGACAAGCTGTCACCCCAAGGGTGAGTTAAACCAGCAATTCCACACCATTTCCACCTCCCGTAGCTATTTATGTCCCAATCAGATCACCACAGCACCCCCTCTCCGGTTTAGTGGGCAACATTTAAGCGGACCAGGCTCGGCTTAATAAAGAGAAATTGTCAAGGGCGAAAAGGATGTGCAAACTTTGCCAGTCAGCATTCTGCACTGGCAGCCGGCAGTGGGTTTTAGGCTTTAACAAGGACAGCTCTTATTTACTGCCGAGCCTTTGGGTAGCCCTCCGCTGAACTTATTAGTCGAAGTTGGCTCAAGATCACCGCTGATAAACAGTTATTTAATCCACTTGTCTGGTAAGTGTTTCCATCAGATGTCCTGCCTTCTTCCTAAGGGTTTGGACTCTTTGCGTGGCCCTGTGTTAACGAAGCCTCAGGCGTTTTTTGGGAAAGCTATGCGGCACATTATTCAGGAGCTCCATGAATCCGTCAACTTCCAAACTTATTCTGTTTTTGGCATTGTTCTACAGAACTTCTGCCCCGGGTTTTGTCTGATATTTAATTAGTTTTCATAGACTTTGAATGTCAAAATCTTTTAAAAATCGGCTCAAATTGTGAGAAAACTGCTTTGAGGAGAAAACTACTTCATTAAAAAATATTGTGAAGTAAGTTTTACTGATAGAAATCTCAATGCTAAATTCTGTTTTTCATGGTCCTCTCAGTTATTTTGCTCTTGGTCAGGGAATGTTTCATATTTAATTAGCAGCTCCCACCATTGTCAAGTTTTTAAATCTTTAAATCTCCCAGAAATTCAGCACGTTAGCCACTGCTTAATATTTTTTCCAGAAACAGATGCCTGAGGGTGATGTACGATGTACGTATGATGCACAACACTATAAAAAGATAAAGGTGGAAATAAAACTAGTAAGGTTTGCTCTTCCTTAGTTTGACTTCCTTGGAGAAACTGGATTTTCTCTTCAGTTTCTGGGTGCTACATACATCATTATTACTGGAAGCCAGAGCTATGAATCAAATTTTTTTTTTCCTTTTTATAGTCTCCTTCACCACCGTATTTGCATGGATTTGGCAAACTGCCCTCAAGCTCCTGAATATTCAAAACGAACGTGGCCATTTATTTTGATTATGATAATTGACAGCTGTTGATACGACTCTTGACATTAATGAATCTGTGGCGCTCACGATGAAACATGAGTACCTTTACGGAGCAGATTACGGGCTCACTGTCCTCACATTATCGGGTTCTGTTTTTTACTTTCCACAACCGAGTGGCTTATTGTTCTCAAAACCAGCTCGGGGTTGTTGGAATTCCGGGTGCACATCCAGCTCGTTTCCACCTCACCTTTCTTCACCTCCCTCCGCAGAAACTGCGTCTTTCAAAAGAGGTGGGTGAGATTCGATGGAGAAAGTCTGGCATACTACAACAACGACAAGGTAGGTGTGAGAAAAAAAACACCCACGCTTAACAAACAGTAATTAGACTTGATAGCTGCTAAAGCTCAAAACGACTCGAAAGACGCCGATATTTTCCCCGTAAGGTCACCCGGAGAAGGTCCGCTTCTTCTCTCAGTCGAAGGAGTGTGCGGCTTTTTTCCCCCACCCCCTCATTTTCATCATCATTAGCTTGGCAGAGTTAGGAATGGGGGCAAGGACGGAGCAGCACGCATGACGGGCCGGCACTGCCCGCGCCCGCCCAGCCGCACTGCAAAGTACATCGATGCTGGCACCTCACCAGATCTTTAGGAAAAAAAAAAAAACCAAAAAAAACGACAGGGAGGGAAAGTTAGGGGCGAGGGAAGACTCATTTCTTATTGCCTCCCTCAGCATTTCCACCTCCCCTCCACTCCTCTTCATTCTCCGTCCGTGTGACAGTCGAGTTTGAGTTTGGCATAGCACTGCCGGTCTCATCGTGAAGGGGGGAAGGGGGTGGGGGGAGGAGGGGGGGCGGGGACGGGATGGGATGGGATGGGAATAGTTTACAGCTGCTGGATGCAGATACAAGCAAGATTAAATTCTAGCCTTTTCGGTGCAAGGCATTTCTTTCAACTGAGTTTTGCTGCATGTTTCGAAGAAAAACTGTTGTTTTTTGAGCCATTTCAAAAGGTCGTATCTGTGCTTGCGTAAAAGCCCTTATATCGATAATATTCTAATTAATCTAGTGTCTACACACAGTCTTTTAATATTTACTGTGTATTTATATGGCCCGTATTCACAAGTGAGCCTCTGGCCACACATACTGGGCTTTACTTCTGTGTTCCGACTAATGACTTTTTGATGTGTTTTGCAGTAAAAGCAAACACATTTGTTTGCCTGCGTGTTTGTGAGTGCTGGAGCTGTGACCTCATACCCCCCTCTCCAAGGGCCAGCTTGTTTTCACTGCAGCAGCGTTGCACAACATCACAATCAATGATGTGGGACCTGTCTGATGCCTGCTCGTTAATCACTTACTAATTATAGCCCTCCGTGCTCTCTGGCTGCTTCTGTGTCTCTTTTCTTTTCGCTTGTTTTCTCTTTCCATTACGTTTGTTGCCTTATTTATCAGGACGTGTGCTGTCGGCTTAAGGACGTGACCGGCGGGGAGGCTGTGGAGTCAGTACTTCGGCTCAGACACCACAGTGCCTGCTTTTATGTGTGTGCGCAAGCAGGGATTGTCGTTCAGACTTTTAAGCTCCTTCACAGCCAATGTGACTCTGCCCTCTGAGACAGCAGAAAGCTTCATCATGTTTTGGGTGAGCAGAAAGGTTGTGTACAATCTCTTTGGCCATCCCTTTCTTTGTCGAGGCAGCTGGGTTCCTGCACCCTCTGCTCGCTCCCCTCTAAACCACCTCCACAGAGTGAGCATAAACGGGGGGGGAAAAAGATTGCGTCGATATCTGCAATCACTGTTTTTCAGCGTTTCAGAAATTTTAACTGTGCATAAGTACATCTTAGTTTTGTGTGATACAAACTCTTCAGATTTTGCATTCATCTCACATCTTATCTCAGAGGAGTTGTACTGATTACCAGATTATTCCTCTTGGAAGATCTGAAACATGGGGAAAAAATTACTGATCTATTCTAAAAAACAAGAGACACTTCACTGTGTGCAGGTGTCCATTCACCAAAAACAATCAGCTCACATAGCTCCAAGTTCAAGTTTGCTTGAAACATTGCACGTTTTAGCTGTTTGTATGTATATGATAAGTCAGAGGCTATGCTAACTGCTTGTGTCAGGCTAACATGGTCGTAGTTATCATGTTAGCTTGCATGCTATCATTTGAATATAACTGGTAATGCTGACTGGAGATATTTGGTATAGACATGTTATAGTTATGTAAAAATGCGTCTTTAAAGGGAAGAAACACCCTTTTTGAATGAAACATCCCATCTTTTTGAGTTTTAAATAATTCTATATACAGATGGCTTCACACTGTTGTGGCTAATGCTAGCAAACTCTACAGAGATACAGCTGGTGGGTGGACAGACTGTTTCAGTGGGATAAAGAGTCCAAAGTGTTGTTACATCATCATTACAACCATATCTTTGTGAGAATTGTCTATAATTCTAAATCAGTTGGGACCGGATTTTTTGCCATGAGCCCTATACTTCGTCTCAGACTCTGAGACAAAGCTTATGCGTGTCATATTGATCTATCTGCTCACAAAACCGAAAATGCCTGTACACTGAAACATTCCCATGCTTGTCCTGTTTCTCCAACTTTAAACACCCCCCCCACAAAGAAAAACTCCTCTGTAGTTTGAAATCCTCTGGGATCTGTCTGCTGCAGACAGATCTAATCGCACTTAATCGTAGTCACAGCTTGAAGGTCTCTGGCCGCGGTGATGCCATCATAGGGGTAGCGGCGATGGCGTGGGAGAGAAGCGAGATCCTCAGTCCCACTTCTCCCTTCCCTGCAGCCTTTTTTCTCCAGTCTGTCTGATCAATCAATCCTTTCGCCTGATTTCATCAACGCCGGGATTGACTTTGGAGAGATCCTTGGGCCTGAGACGGAGTCCTCAGGGTCCCCGTGTGGTGTCATGAGTGTATGTGTTCGGGAAAAACTCGGCTTAAGGGTAGTGAGCGGATGAAGGAATGAGGGGATAGGGAGAAGGGATAAGCCTGGACAGGGAGGCCAAAGGGGAGATGGAGTTTTGGGATCAGGGATCAGTTTCTCAGAGTCAGTCCGGTCCAGTTGTGTTTCTGCTTGATGCTGAAAAGCTGCCTTAACAAGCCTGAAAGCTCATCCACTTACTCAACATCACAAAGATCTACCCGAGACGCCGGTGTTGATGGTTTCTCAGACCCGCCGACTGTTCAGTGTCATTCTGATCTCCAGAAGTCTATAAAAATGGGACAGCTTTGTAAGAGTTAAGCCTCACACATTGCGCAAAGTGTTAATATGCAGACCGAGGCTGCTCGGATTCACATCGGGGTCATGAATCGATGCAATTATAGGAGTGTCACAAGAGGATAGATGTAAAAGAACGAGAAAGTATCACTGGAGATTCGAAGTAGTATATATGGAACATCATGAAATAATATGTAATTGGATAAATAGGAATGTGAGAAATGGAAATCGGAAAGTCTGAAGCTATTTGGAAAATCATAAAGAGCAATAATTATGTGATTAAAAGCTTAAAAATATGTGCATGACACAAAAAGCAGATGTACAGAAAGAGTCAAAAGTCAAAGGAAAACTATACATTAGGCTATGTCTGGAACGTGGCTGCCATCTTGAAAACCAACATATTGGATTGAGGGTATGTTTTTCTAATAGGAATAAGGGCATGTAGCATATCAACGAAGACCGGAATTGTCTAAGAAAACACCTGCTAGAATCAGACTGCTTGATGCGTTCAGGAGCAGGGACAGCACGCCGGACATCTCTGTGCATTCCCGTTTGTAGGAAAGCAAAAGAAATATCCAAAAACAAATCAGTTCTGTAGTTATTTTTGCAGGTGTCCTTGTATAGTTTTCTTTATTTCTCCCATTTAGCATAGTTTTCTACTGATTCATCCCCTTTTTAAAACATTTTTTTATTTATTTATTGACTGTCCAATCTTAAATGGATATATCTTTTTCCCTGTTTTAGGAGAAAAATCACACGATAGCGTTACAGCTGTTTCTTAAAACCTATTCAGATACCCGGTCTCTTTCTCAGCGGTGGCCATAAATCAAATCGTACTTGTTGTGAAGGAGGTGGCTGTTTGTGAACTCGCTCCGATGCATCCGATGCATCTTCTGACTTCTGTTTTTCCCAAACATCTCCAGTTTTTATGTCACCTGCCAGTTCCGCGCTTTGGTTTTTATGATCTTGTTGTGATTCGCGTTCACTTCTCATGCCAGTTTTGTTTTGTCTTAGCAGGCAGCGAGCGCCACAAGCCCGCTGCGCACTTCCCGTCCAGCTCCACACGTCAGATAGAATTAGTAACTCACCAATGCCACTCGGAAAAAAAAAAAGAGAAGGAAAAAAGAAAAAAAGAGATGTTGCTCAGAACTGGGTGTAAGACGGGAACAAAGATGCACATTGATGGACGGGAAAAGAGGCTGGGGCTTTTTGTGCGCGTTCGGTTAGCCTGTTGATTTTCAGTTTGACTTCTATTTAAAGAAGGAAAACAATCAATGATTCAGCTTTTAGTGTAACAGAAAAACAAGAACGAATTGTCAGCTCAGGCTTGTTTTCTGTGAGATTTGACTGCTTTGTGATTTGACTTTGGACCGGAGCACTTAAGAATAAAACCTGGCCTTTGGGCTGTAATTACTACACATAAACTATTCGCCTTCAGGCCTTTAGAAAAAGAACCAAAACCTGTATGGGATTCAGGGCTGCAACAGGCATTTGGATTAGTCAGCACTCTACTGGAAATGCTCATGACAAATGTTGTGGCTTGAATATCTCTGCCTGAAAGCTGGAACTTTCAAGATTTGTCTCCATATAAAAAACAGCATCAGCATCAGCGTTTCACTAAGGCGTAGTTTCCATCTTAAGCCAGCTGGTGTCCTCAGGCCTCCACTACAAATCCGAGGCTTTTTTTTTTAAACGCCAGAGCCTCCAACTCCATAATGGCTGCAGAAAAAAAAAAAAAAAAAACCCTCCACCCTTATTTGCCCTCCTCCCTCTTTTTCTCCACACGTTCCCTCCATTATTGTGGGACTTTAGCTCCATTGCTCTGCCTTAATTCGCCTACCCCAAGTTTATCAGGTTGTTTTTGGGGGAAGAAAAGAGACTGGAGCCGTCCATGCGGGAGAAGGCAGCTCCGCTCGTGGAAGAAAAGGAGGGACACCACCCCTGCGATGCGACAGACGTTTGCAAAACGTTTGGGAGGGGGGGGGAAACGAGGAGAAGGGAGGTGTGAGCGAGGGGTCAGAGGCAGGTGATCGGGTGTGTGTGCTGGAAACGGACGGACAGATAGTTGGGCCTCATCTGCCTTTCAGAATATTTACAGATGCACAACTCGCAATTAAAACAGCTCTCGGTGTCACGACCCCAAAAAAACTAGAATTAAAACAATTAATTACCGTTAAAGCCCATACTGGGTTATAATTATCGGCGCGGAGCCACCGAGATAATTCATCCTCGCACGCGCGCACAGTTTTCTCCTCACCTTCCCGTAACTTCTATCTAAAATTAGAGGGGAAGAAGAGCGAGATGCCGGTGTGAAACTCCCGGGGAGAGAAGCACACGAGGCTGCCTGTCGGTAATTAGGTTGAGCCACTTCTTGCCATTGTTAACATCCTGCTTTAATATGAGAAGGACCCCCTTCCTGACCCTCTTAGACGTCTTCATTTCTACACGATGTCTCTCTCACCCACGAGCCTTCTTTGTGTCCTCCTTTTAGATCACCGTTTCTTTCTGTTTTTATCTTCTCGGCTGCATCCCCCCCGCACCCTTTCCCATTTTCTTTCTCTTACTTTTCTCCTTGGCCTTTTCACACGAACCTAATTTCTCTTTTTTTTTTCCCATTTCACGCTCCTTCCATCCATCCGTCCCTCCCTGCCTCCTGCTCCCGCTCTCCCTAAATGACTGCACCGGCTGGTATATTTTTGGCTGTACGGTTTCTAGAAATAGGCTTTTGTGGACGGCGAGGTCACGGGCTTAATTAAGGATGGCGAGAGGGAGTCAGGAGGTCAGCAGCTTTCTTTTGCTTTCTCAATTCCCCCCCACCCCCGGTTGCCTATTCTCTGTCTTTGCTGGAAAATGACCGCGGGACAGGACAGTAAAAAGTAGACTTGCTCCTTGTGAATGGAAATCAACACAAGTCAATTTCTTTTATTTTTTTTGACAACAGAGAATCAAAATTCAGGTCATCATGTCTGAATAGTGACAGAGAGAAAGAAAGAGTCCCGTCTGTTTTTTTTTGCCTACTTTGCAATGATAATGGTATTACAAACATGAATAATGCAATGTCTGCTATGACCTTTTTTCCCTTTTTTAATATCCAAGTGATTTTTTACGAAGCTACAGAAGCACAATGTTCTTTTTCTCTATTGAAAGAACATTGCGATTCCTGATCTTCTGAGATTTTCCCAACTTCTTTAAGGGCAGCCCTGTGTTATGCCTGCCACATTGGGTTTTGAATACTGATTTCTCAGCGGAACCATTCTGTGCTTGCCTTCTTTTCTTTAGCAGTGATAATATTAAGGTTTGATTTCTTTCTTTTCTGTTTGTTTCACACTCAAAATGACCCAGAACTTTAATTGCCATTATCAAGGGAAATTGTAAAGAGGGTCATGAAGCCTCCAGTGCAACGCACTGCTTATTTTTGATGATTCCAGTAGAGCTACCGGGGGGGGGGGGGGGGGTGGGGGACACAGGAGTAATGAAACAATGCACACACAACCAAATCCCACTTTACCCAATCACTTCCTCTGCTTTTGCTCAAATCCCCCGAAACAGTGTGCGTATCTCATTTTAAATATCTCAGAGGTTTGTTTTCAGTCTGTAGATGTGCTTTATCAAGTCTCCTAACACCTAAAATACCACCTTGATGTGTTTTTTTTTTCTTTCTCTGTGCATATTTTGAGTCATTTCATTAATCATCATTAAAAAAAAAAAGAAAAAAGTCTTCCACATTTCTAGTTTGGAGGCTGAGGTGAAAGAGCATGTTGGAGTTTTTCTGACTGTAAAAGCTTGTCAACGGTCTGCCGGGAATAGAGGGTGTGTCAGCACAGGGGGGACAGAACGGGACGGAAATGATCATTTTGCTTTTTTTGCTTGTGTTTCTCGGTTTAGGAGATGTACTCCAAAGGAATGATCCTGGCCAGCGCCGTCAGAAAGGTGCGAGGACTGGGCGACAACAAGTTTGAGGTCGTCACCGCCCTGCGGACCTTCATCTTCCGGGCTGAAAGAGAAGGTACAGCAGTGGCATCTTTTTTCCTCTTTGTCACTCTGACCGTGCGATGCACCGGCTAGCTTTGTTTCTCTCTCTCTCTCTTTCTCCCCTCCCTGTCTCGGTTAGTCTAGCATAGTTGCCTCACTTTCTAAATGCCTCTTTGGCAATCTTCTATCTTACTTTTGTGTTTTCTTCCCTGCTCAGCCTCTAAGTCTTTTTTTCTTCTTTCTCCTGCTTCTATTCAGCTTCATCAGAGGATTCGCACCACTCTGCATTTTGTTCGTAAAGTACCAATGCTCAAAGAAATGATTTCGTACAATTCTCTGTTCATAGTGCACATGGAGAGATCAATACCAGTTTGATGTCTGTGCATTAAGCACAAAGGAGTTGTGAACAAGTAACTAGCGTGGCCTTCATGGAGCTTTCTGAGCTCTCTCGCAAAATTGCAGCTGTTTGTATCAGCAGATAGTTAGCCAGCAGCATCTCTAAACATGACTAATTAACTCCTTATATGTCCCATTAAAAGTGTTGTCTGGCGCATTTGTACAATTAAGAAAAAGCTGGACTAAGAAAACTACTTACTCAAGGAAACTGCGATAAACCGGTGGGGGAAGAAAAGGGCCATTACGCTTGTTTATTTTCGTTTTCAGGTATTGAATGTATACAAGGAAAATTATATAATGGACATCTGTGTGTCTCTGGAGTGGAGATAAAGAGTCAGAGGATAAAGTAAGATGTGAGAATGGTGAGGACGCATCGTCTCTCAGGTGGAGACTTTGTCTTTGTCAGCCTTAATGAGAGAAGAAGGGGACGCTTTCTGCCATCAGCCCCCCGCTGGCCTTTGATGGCGGTCTATTAGGCGGCTCGGGTCACAGAGCTCATTGTCTAATCAGAGGTGTGAGCGTCGGGTCAGATATCGTCCGTCCTCTGATTCTCATGAACGAGAGGTTGGGGACATTGAAGTCCGCATGATGATGACACCGAGGACCTCTGAATCATTGTGCGGCGCAGTCGACTATCGGAGATTGAGCTGAAAGATCCTAATTCTAGAGGGAGCTCTGGGCATTTTATTGACGTATTGATATCTACTGGGTCAAGAAAAGAGGCGTCGATACTCCGCTCGCTCGTGATTGGTATCGATTGACATCGATTGGCACGTAACAACCTCAAAGATGAACGCCAAAGCTGTTGACCTCCATGTGTGCATTGTGATGAAAACGCCATTTTTCATCAGTAAACTGGTGAGGGGAAGGCTTAGCTTCATGTTAAGAAGCGTACCAGCACAAAATTAATAAAGCACAACGAACCCAGTTGTATTTATCAGTGATTCTGAGTGTGATCAAGCTACAGGGATCCATATTTCTGTGTTTATTGTAAGCGGATTAGATCGATTTCCACATCTCTCTGCGGTTCCCTTTTGCTCCACTGAGCATTTTAGCAATGTCCAGCTCAATGTTTCCATTTACTTTAAGCATTAGCTGTCATAGCGGACAACGCTGAGAGGTTTGCTGATTCGGCAGAATGTCTGGCTGCACGCCGGGCCTCTAAACGCTCTGCAAAAAAAAAAGCTTATTTCTGTGAAATATGCTGAGAAACACTAGAGCGAGCACCAGGGCAGATTGGGAGCTCTCCGGTTTCACTGAGCTCGAGGTGTTGGCCGTTATCACGTTAGCAACTCTAAAGACCAGCCCCGGCACCTCGACGGTAAAGGTGCTGCGCTGGTGCACACAGCTGTTCTCATCTCGTCGACCTTATTCTTTACACGGAGTTCAGTGGAAACCAAAGACTGAAGCGCCAACCTTTGCTCTTTGTCCAGAGTGACAGCTGCCCCCCCTTTGAGAGAAAAGGTTAGCAGTAACAGAATGTCTTTAAGCTTTTCTCTGGGAGAACACAGCTGGGAGGCTACAGTTAAGTATCTGGTGTCTGCTGACTGGGCTGCTTTATGGCTATAATTTAAGAGATACTTTGAAGCAAAATGTTTGCCTCATTGGGAAATGGGTGGAATTGAAGCACAGGATGTGTGAGGAAGGGGGGTATAAGAATGAATAGCGATGTAAACGCTGACTGGCATGATGCACAATGCAAACACAACCCTTCCCAGGAAACATTTCTCAGCCCAAACAAAAAATCTTTCCAGAGTTGGTTGTCAGACTTAAAAAAAAGTTATTTCCAGATTCCTGTGGACACAGATGGTAAAAAAAAATGCAGTATTTACATATTTTGTGCATAGTTCTTCATACAATCGTCTTTATACAACCCATGCAGTTTTTTATAATTGGCAACACTGTTCTGTCCTTTATTAACTGCTGAGGGACAGAACGGCTGTTACAGTAACCGATGCATGCAAAAAATAATAAAAGAATCCCTGTATTTTTTTGTCTGGAATAGGAGCAGCTTTCATATGCCGTGTTTCCCAGTCTGCGGCTCCTGTGTGGCAAACAGTCGCATTGATTCTTCTTTTTATGGAATTATTCATCACTGCCTGCTCATTAATAGCCATGCAACTAACATCTTGTCCTTCAGACTCTTTTTTTTTCTTCTTTCCTCCACCACCAGCGATGCTCCCCTTGTCGGTTCGCTGCGTCGATGGGCGCCGGCCTCTTTTTGCCGGTTCACATGTCTCCGGCCACTTCGTTTGTCTCGTGGTCCGCTCGACGTTTGTCATCTGTCCCGCCTGGGAAAAAGACGGAACCGTTTGAGGTGAAGGGAACCCGCGGGATGCCTCGGCGGGAGAAAGGGGCGGAGAGGCGGAATGGTGAGGGAGCGAGAGAAAGGAGGAGAAAAACTTGGCCTCATCACCTCATGCATCTTTAAACAGGACCACTCGCCTTGTGCTGGAGACTCATCAATCTTTGGGGGGGAAGCACACGAGATAGAGGGAGGCACGAGGAGACAGCGGGGAAAGAGGAGGAGTGGGTTAGTGAAGTGGAGGCAAGGAGCCGCTGGGCCGATGCAGCCGAGGTGAGAAAGGGGGCCAGAATTGATGGAGTGACGGTTGGAGGAGTGTGGGAGAGAGTTAAAGGCATTCAAGAGGGGTAAAAGAAGAAGGGACAGGAGCGGCGAGAGGAGGAGGGGATTAAGCCGGGGAATAACAAGAGTGAATAAATCCAGGGAGGCAGACACGCAATCTCTGTGTGAAAAAGCAACAGAGAGGTAAAGGCAGCGACGAGGAGGAGAGATGAAAAGGGCAGAGTGAAGATAGGGAGGAGGAGGGGGGAGAAGTGAGTGAATAATTGAAGGCCACCGGAGAGAGTGTGCACACAGCTGTCGGCTGATTCCCCACTTGGTCCGCAGGTGGCCTCTTCCCTCAGGTACTGTCAGCTTGAGAGGGGGGAAGACGGGAGGAGGAAGGAAGGGAAGGAGGCAGAAGAAAGCGGGGAGAGAATGATGAAAAACAGACAGGACGTAGGGGGGAAAGTGCCGGTGAGTTGAGAAGAGGCTGCAGACAAACATCCGACAAGGCAGAGGATGAGATTTATTGTGTAAAGGGGAAAAAAAAAAACGGATGATTTGTATTCTGATGCTTTGGCATTTGTTTTTTCCACATGTCTGCTTGTAACATGTGTTGGTTTTGTTGGCGATGACAAGGAAGCGGGTGAGGGAGTTGTAGAGAATGAGTGAGTAAGAAGCAACACAATGGTTGGTGGTTGGAGGCTGGCCAGAGATGGAACGGATGCAGAATGATAAACTGTGTAGCTAGCTACACGGTGGGGGGATAAAAGTTGAGAAAATGATGTAGATTTCTGTGTGTCAAAAACAGACATTGGCCATGGCATGAACAAATGACTCTTAGCTGGTGGGAAATATGAAACAAACCGTTGGTGTTTGCATCAGAAACATCACGTTTGTAGACGTGAAATCACTTCTTTTCAGCTAAAAAACCCTTTCCTTTCTTTTGAGACATGGTGGTGGAAGTATGATGGTTGAGACTCATGACATTCAGGTAATTCTGAAATATACTTTGAAGGAAAAAAGAAAAGAAAGAATGGAAAGACACTTTTCTTATATTGTCTGTAACTAATTAAAAAATGTGACAGAAGTTAGAAAATGTTTTGATGAGGAAAGATTCAGAAAGAAAACTAAAAAAGGGTCAGTTAGTTTTTGAAATGCCCCCTTTTTGTGTATTCCCACAGTACACCTGCAAATCCTGTTTACTTTTTTTTTATTGGTCTGAAACCATTTGTATGTAGATTTGAGTCAGCTTTGGGCTTTCTTTAACAAAAATCACGTATTCTAAAAGAAGTTGGAGACACGAGGGCATCCTGGATGCTTATTCTACTCCCACTGAACCTGTTTATATATTAGTATCCTCTTAATGCATGTAAGTGCAAATTCCTCATCCACTTGCATGTTTCACACGACAGCTGCTGAAGGAACTATCACTTCCCAGCAGGTTTATGAGCTGACATCTTTCAGGTAAACTGATAAACTGCCATCAAGCGGCTTCGGCGCTAAATACTCCGATATCTTTCAATCAGTTTTTTGGGCGAAATGATTTGAAATTGGAAAAACAAAGAAAATTGGCCGCCATCCGTCAGCTTCGTGTACCTCATTTCCCTTTTATTTTATTGTCACTGATGGAGACCGTGGGCGGCTTCTCAGATCGCCTCTGAGCGCCGAGTGGACCGAGCTCTGATTACATCCACTTTCAGAGAGGATTATCTGCCTCTCTCTGCGTAAAGTGGACTCATCTTTTGGATGGATGCTCGTACGTACGTGTATATATATATATTGTAATAAGGCGATGAAGCCGGATGGCTTTTGGATTTTACTGGCGGAGGCCAGGGGACATTATTTTTTATATGCATGCGGAGGTATGGGCGTGTTTGCGCAGCCAGTTAAAAAGGATCACTTTGGCGATGCGATGATGGAGGATCATGTGTCAGACCGAAGGGAAAACAAGCACTCAAACTTATGCAAATTGCATTCAGGCACACAAATCAGGGCGCACATATGCAGACGTATGGGCACGCGGGCGCTTTCTTTCAGACCTTCCACCTGAGCTCAGACTTGACAGCCGGGTTTAAGAGGAGGCAGAGAAAGACGGAGGCCTTGAATAAATGAATAACCAAATAAGTGAATGAAGGATGGATAATGGACCCGAGAAAGCAGGGTGGGGTCGAGAAAAGTAAAGAGAAGTGATGTAAAGAGAAGTCAATAATTAATCACGCCGTTCATTATTGATGCCATCACTTTGTGCATTCTGAAGAAACGGGGGGTGGAAGGGGGGGGGGGGGGGGGTGACTGAAGATAAGCCCAGGTACAGGAAGCAGAGCCTCTCTGGTGAGTTACGTGTGGAGGGGAACATGCGGAGACGGGGAACTTTTCTCCCAGAGGTGGGGACGAGTTTGCATGCAAAGTAGAGAAGGAGACGTGTCCGCAAAGGCTGCAGGAGGGTCAAAAGGTTGCCGTCAAGAAGATAATTATGGTCCATCTAAGACTTGTGACAGGCTGACGGGGACTAAAAGGAGATTGACAGGTCACAGAGTCCGGCCCTCCTCCTCTTCCTGTCACTTCAGGGTGTGTGGAGGACACACTCAGTCACTGAAGCAGTTAGAGTGATTAAGCAAAGTTAGTTCAGTCCAAAATCGATACATTTTAGCTAATTGATTTTATATATATGAACCAATGCATTTTCCACGCCTGTGTCTTTTAGGCTGTGGAGTTTCACTTCTAATCAGCAGCGAATATTTTGAATCACAATGTGACTTTGAATTTAAAAGTTATTAATAAAAAAAGGACTTATACTGGGGGATCTTTTTTTTATCATAAAAAGAGAAAGTTTCAGATTTTTTAAATTATTATTTTTTTTAATTAATTAATTTTTTAATCCAACAAAAATGCACAGAGAGAGCTTTAAATGGCTCTCTGGTAAGTGACTTGTTAATGCCACTTGTAGATCGGCTGCATCGTGCTTAAGCAAAAGGGGCGAGCCTCCACTTTATCTCACAGGAAGAAAAAAAATGGAAATCAAGAGCTAATTCAGCCTGATACGGTCTAAACAGATAAAGATGCTGATGAGCCTGGTGAGGATGTGGAACGGTTTGAGGGGGCTGAAAACGGTCGACGCATAAAGCCCCCTTCTTGCTTTGTGTTCACAAAATGGTTTCCAACAGGCGTTGAAAATGCTCGTTATTATGCTTCTTTTCTTGGCTTTTCCGTCGATGGGGAAAACGGCGAAGTTGCGGTGGCAGCTATGACTGATGCTAACCCGAAATGATTCAGGGAATATAGAGCATTACAGGAAACAGGAGATGGAAGTTGTATTTACTCCCAGAGGCGTATGCAGGTGATCTATCACAGCTGAGGGGAAACCAGCAGAATATGACTGCTCGCTGTTTTAAATGATATTTGTCATTCAGACAATAAGATGGCACTGAGTCTTGTTTTTTTTTTTTTCTTTTACCAGTACGGGATATTCTCTTTATCTCTGTCCGCTTTATGGCACCTGCAGGCAAACGCTGTGTCCCTGCAAGCTCAAGGCTTTCTGTACTATTGATAAGCAGCTGGAGGAAAGTAAAAAGACACATTCTTCTGTCAAGGGGATCAATAAACTATGACAAAAACCTTTTAATCTCTTCATTCTCAAACTGAGGCACCTAAACAACCTAAGGGACAGGGACACGGTGAGCATGATAATGGACAGCGAGCTGGAACCGCCGAGAGGTCGCACATACTTAGAAAACGAAACATCAGATCACTGTCTGATATTTTGCTCAAATGTATGGCAATTAAAAAAAAAAGTGACCTGTGAAGGGGATGTGTGACCACAGAAATGTTTACATTGCGGATAAGTGTCTTCTATCCTGCCGTAGTCTTTTTGTGTTGGGAGAGAAAGTTGACAGACGTGCACACTTTGAAAGAAAAAGTGCGTCTTCTTTTCAAAAACCTTGGATTTTTAGAATTCCCCTTACAAGGGACTGAAATAAAATAAAAAAAGCGCTTTCATGACTTTGCCCCATTTCGCAGGACCTTCCTGACTGACTGACGACGGAGAATCACACCAGTTTGCGGATTCTCGTTTGATTTAGCTTCCCTGGCTTGTGTTCAGCAGTGGGCCACAGTGGGATTTGCTTTGGACGTGTGATGTTTATGTCTTTGGGTCTGCGCGTGTCTGTGTGTTTGCCTTTCCTTTTGGTGATTCCTTGTGTTTCCAGTTTCGCAGGCTTTGATAGCGCAGTGTTTCGGGCGGTCGGGGAATGGGCTTTACAGCGTCGGCTTCGTGTCCTCTTTTAAGTCTGTTTGAAAAGTTTGTGGAGGAAGATGTCTGACAGGCCTTTTGAGCGCACATTGTTTGAATGTAAACCCTGTGTGGAACAGATGCGTTGCAACCATGCTGGGGCCATTAAGCCGGGCTGTAATCCAGAGGGATTTACAGTAAGGTAGGGATTCTGTGTCCTGCCCAAGGACAAACAGTTTAAGCGGACACCAAACATGTCAGATGTGCCAGTTGTAAAACAACTGACAGTTTGCTAAACCCCTCCTTCAATCACTGATTGTCCAATAATACTGTTGCTTGGCAACCAATACTTTCTGATGCACATCGGTGTTTGTGTTTGTCTGTGTGTGCTGGGCTGTGGAAAGTGTGTCCAACAATTTTAGGATGGTGGTGTATTTATTAGCCCTCCGACCCTTCTGTAGTGTTCTGTAGTAAAGCTACCAACCTGGGGTAATCAATGCTAACATGCTAACATTTAGCATCTAATTGAATCCACCATAGCTACAGACAGGCACTCATTAGCTCAAAAAAGTCAGGAACAGACAGTTCAGAGCTGCAAAAACCAAATCGACAGTGTTTATTGTTGCTAGTAAGGCTTCAATATGTGCTGACTCAGCCATAAGCTGGAAGCGTCGAGGCGCCCTGAAGACAACAACAACTTAACGCATAAATATTGCAGATGAGCTGCGGCGGGTCTGCCAGCAGCACGTTGAGAGGTTTAAATCAACTAATTAGTCTGCGGGAGAAGGTAGAAACGGGGCCGAGGAAGAGCTGCCATAAGGGTCTTTGAATTTTAGTCTTGACAAAAACATAGTTTAGGTGAATAGTGTGTGCAGGTCACTGGAGGTGACACCAATGTGTCAAGGTGCAAGTGAACATGTGTTCTTTTATTCTTAATGTCAGGATTGATAAAAGTTTTGTTAATGGAAAAAATAGCTTAGCCAAAACAAAATACCGAACTGTCTTTGTTTTTAAAAATGACATTGACATTGCAGGATTTTATTTTTGGCCTCTGTACGCATCTTTAATATATCGTATGAGCCTTATAGGGGAAAGAAAATACATCCTACTGACCGTCCTACATGGAACTTTCACATCCTAAAGAGTGGAAGCTCTGGATGTGCTGCAAGTGTCCTTAAGTCGTAGCTTGAAAAGGGTAAGCGATTAGGTTTGGGTTAGCCCGGCTTGGAAAGGCATGTGGGAAAGAAGCTAGAGTGCTACTTTCCACTTTCTGTCTCTGTCTTTTAACAATTCGGTTGTTCAAATGCCAGATAGCAAACCTGCCTTCTACTTCACTCTCTACCTCACTGGAACACATGGCTCACACTGATGGATTGACCATTTGCGTCATTCCTGTTCATAATAGAGCCCTATACCTACGTTCCAGTTTTTGTTTTTCATACCTTTCATTGCCTTCAGGGATAAAAGTGATAACCACATTAAAAAAAAAAGTATTTATCAAACTTTAGCCTGTTTACTGTACATCAAGAGTTAACCTTTAGTTGTCTAGCTACCCTAAAAATTTGAATTGAAATCAATCTCACAATAAAGTCAAAATAAATCAATCAAAAGGCTGGTACTTTTTGATATGTAATAATACTTTTTTACCAAAGTTGTGTCCCCCAAAACAGCTTAAAATCTTGAGCATATTAAAAAAGTGTAAAAAAGAGATTGGTGTGCCTCAAATGTTAGCATGTGAACTTGCCCTGAAACATTTGTATTTTATTAAATTACTAACGTAAAATAATTGATTGAAAAATACAAAACATGCAATATACCTTTTTTTTCTGTTACAGTCAGATTGACAGTATGTTCACTAAAGAAAAATTCAAGCCTCGTCGTTGCGTGTCTGTGGAGCGTATAACAGGGGTAAATCTTTGGGTCTCTGAACCGACAGCAAAACTAAACCGATATGTGGCGCCACACCCCTCGAATATCATGGTAAGCTTTTCTTTTGAAACATTCCACACACTGCAGCGGCTCCCTGTTGTTTTCCAGCTTGGGGAAGATCAGTGGATTCACACAGAGGTGGCTGCTGTTCGTCTGAAGCCGCGTTCGGCTCAGTCTTTTGTTTTAATGACGCATTAGGCTGAAATTGCTCTAAACACATTTTGCTGGAGGCCTCCAAATGCACATGTGTCTTTTAGTTTTGGCACTTTTTAGCTTTGTGGGGTTTTTCCCTCTCCGAGGGCTAAGTTAATTTACAGCAATCACGCCTCATACTGCTTTTCAATTACTCTTCTTTTAGACTTTAATATTCAGTATAAGAAGTCAGCGGCCCTGTAGCAGCCGCAAAACCAAAGTGACTCCCAGAAGAGACGAAATAATGATGACTAATCTCATCGATTCAAAGACTTTAGGATGCCCTGATCCGACTTTGTTTTTTGGGCTCCGTTTGGCTTTTCTTTACTCCTTTTTCTCCCCTAACGTCTCGCATGCTCTCTTTCACGCAGTGGCTCTTGTTTCCTTATCAACCATCTGCCTCTTTCTCTCTCGTGTTTCTGTTTTCTCGCTCGTTGTGCGCGTCCACAGGGGAGCGCCAGGAGTGGATGGAAGCTCTACAGACGGCCACGCGCCCCCCCGCCTGCGGCTCCCAGAAGCGCGCCGACAGCCTCTCCCGCGTCTCCCCCACAAACAAGCGGGGCACGCTGGAGCTCCGGGGCTACAAAGGCAGAGTGCTGGTGTCCCTCGTGGGGAGTAAAGTCAGGCTCTGCAAAACAGAACAGGTACTCCCGGGCGCCACGGGGACCTCCCCCTACGCGGAGTGACGGCTTCGCGTTTTAAAAAGAAGGAATATAATAAGCCCCCTACTTGAAGCCGAGGTGGGAGAAACGGAGACGTTCCTGAAAGTGGAATGTTAAAAAAAAAAAAAAAAAAGTAAATGTACGTGCGATAAAACGCTTCAGGCTACACAAAGACGTAGAGTGCTTGGAGTACAAGGACATACTAACATTTCTGATTCTTGGCATCCCTCGTTTTGCTGATGCCCTCACATACCCAAGGCTGAGAGTCCAGTTAGATCTCCAGAAGGTTCCCATCTGAACGTCCAGAAAGTATAACAAATCTACCCAAGCATCCAAAGTGCCGGGCTATTTTTAACTGAAACGGAAGGAGATCAGAGTTTAGTTCAACGTTCAGTTCTATAGAGCGCACAGCTCCATTATTCCCATACTGCCGAACCCCGTGTGAATCATGTAGATAAAGGTAAGGACAGGAGGGGGAATGTTAGCAGCCTGCAGCAGCGCGCTCCACTATATGGTTTTTTCTACCATGACAATCTCGACACGAGCCTGTAAACCAGTAGAAAATACGATTTCTGTGGTGTACGTTTTTGAACAGCTGCAGGCAAACACCACAGCTTAAGTCGGATGTTTTTCTTATTCGTTTTTACAAATTTTTTTTTTTTGTCCAAATGCCTTCCCTCAGTCTAATTTTTCAGCAAGGTCAAGGGAAATGCTTGATTTTAGTAGCCATCCGATCAAACGATGACTCAATACCACAGTGACCAGGTGAGATTCCAATCCACGGCCTTTTTTAACCACTTTGAGAAATCCTGGATCAGGTTAGAAAATATTTCTAATGTGAATCTCAAAGAAACCATGGCATTTCTCCACATGGCTGAAAGAAAATTTGAAATTACGGCCACATTTCTCACCTTTTTATTGATTATTGAATGTTTTTACAAAACTTTTATTATTGTATGAATTGATTTTTTTCTGTCTGGCGGACCTCGTTCGAGCCAAAACAGAATTGCACAAAATCCATGTTTTACTTTTTCTGGAGAGTTTTGGGAGATCTGACTCCCTATCTATTTATTTTGTAAGATGCAAATTGAGATAATTTACAGGAATCTAAATGCAGAGTTTGCTTTTCGGACTTTTGCATTGAGTTATCACAGTTTGCAGCTAAAGCTGTCTGGAGTTCTTTAGGTGTTGGAGACATTTTGACACATTTGGGAGGCCCTTATAGAAAAATCCCATAGACGCAAAACGCCAGCGTCGAAACAGCGTAATATTTCATTATATGATTAATGGAAAATTGATTTTAAATGGAGAAAATGGGGAGCAGGGCTTATGTAACGCCTCCTGAATTTCAGTAGGTTAGGAATTTGAACATCTGTCCGTCTGCAGGTGGGTGCTGTTGCTGGCTGTTTTTTTGGTGGTCGGCAGCTGAAAGCCAGGCTTGTCTCTATGCACCTGCAGTTCCAGCAGCCTCAATGTGAGCAGAAAGAAACAGACAGGTGTCCCCTTGTTATGGGGCTGAATGCTATTAGTATGCGAGGATCCTTCCGACTGCAGGGCCCGGACCGATCGCATCTTTATGCAAATGCCTCACGCAGAGCAGCAGGGCAGGGGGAAAGAAGTGGCAAAGCGGTATGCAAATAAATGAGTTCGGCAGATGGAAAAGAAGTTGACAGCTCTCAAAGATGTCAAACTCTGTCAGTGTCCAGAACACTTTACAGATCAGAGTAACATTTTTGTCAGGAGAGCGAGAGACTCGGTGCGAGGTACGTGATCAGGATAGTTTATTTTCGGTGAAAAATAATTCCCCCGCAATAAATAAACAATCGAGGAAGAGAAAAAAAAAACTTTTTTAGATGTGCTTTGTTTTGTTTTGAGATTTTATTGCGGCCTCTGATGCTCTGCTGTGCTGACGGGGCCTTTTATTAACAAAAGCGCTATTCCTCTATGTCTGATGTGTATTTGATCACCGGAAGGATAAAACACTCAATTTGGCAAAATTTGGGATGAAAGCACATTAATGGACAAACAGCTCATGGCAGACGCAAAGTAAACAGATCAACATAAATCAGTAAAGATTTTTGACTGTGTGTATTAAGATTCCCTCTTTCAGATCATCTCGAAAATATGAAAAGGAAGGACAGCCACAGATAAGATTATGTTGTAAGTCACAAGTTACTAAATACATAATAAATAGTCAAATCTTCTGTTGGGTAGAGCCTAAACCCATGGGGCTTAGCAGTTGTCCTCTTTCTGCTCTCGCTCATCTCCGGTGTTTGTGATAACATGACATGCTGACGCCTCGTGAAGAGGTTCTCCAACTTTTTGCATCAGCCAAACAAAGCTAAACAGGATTTTCGGGAAGATTCTCATCGAGTTAGTTGAACAAAACGTGTGGGCTAGTTCTCTGGGAAACATTTCTGTTCGTCTTTTGAAGCGCAAGGTAATGCATTCACGTCCTTAAATGCCAGTTAAGGAAAAGTTTTCACACAATTTTGTCTTAAATACACAGTAGATCTAGCAAGTGTACCCTATTGACATCAGAATTACATAAACACTCTGCTGAAAGCTGCAGAAGCTCCTAAAAATGCTCGTAATAACCTTCTGGTTAGATAAATCTGTGATGCCGAACTGCTCCAATTGACCTTTGATCCGGCAGATGAGCAAATGTTGCACTTACAGCAACAGATCCCTGAGCAGTTCCACCTCTCACATTCTTTGAGTGTTTTTTTTCCTCAACTGACCTTTGGTCTGTGGTTGTATCATTTAAAGTGTGTGAGAATTCTGTCTCTGTTATTTCTCTGTTTCCGAAACCTTTTTTTCTCAAAAGAAAAACTAAAGACAAACAAAAAGAAAATGACATATTCCTGCAAGTTATGGGTGAGGGTTGTCTTTTAGGGTATATTTGGAACGTGGATGCCATCTTGAAAGCCAACATATTGGATCATGGGCAAGTTTTTCCACAGGGAAAGAGGTCATGGAGCATTTTTAAAAAAGAGAATTGTCTCAGAAAGCAATTGCCGCAACTAGATTTGAAATATTTTGGATGTTCAAATGTTATCAACACAGAAAGTTGCTACAACAGCTGGGTAAGTTACCAGTTGTGCACATCTGTTTGATGTGTTCAGCACCACGGAGAGCACACATTTTTGCTTCAAATAGCCTCTTTTTTCTTCTCTGCCCCCTTTGACCCCAATAGATTAAAAATAAAAGGATCACATTTTTCAAGTCAGTTAAAAAATCTGGGAAATAAATAGTAACTAACTAGTAACTAATTAATGGCAATAATAATGGAACCAAATATGTTTAAAATTAGAACACGAAGTCGTGACATTATTCCACATTTTTTAATTCAGAGAATTTTTTTTTTTTTTTTAAATAAGGAAACAGTGTTTTTCTTCTCAGAGTTGATAGATCAGTATTCTGTTGTAAATCCAAAGCTTTCTTCCATCAAGCACCAACTTTAACCTTTTTAAACTTTTTCTGCCTTCATGTCTTCTACCTTTGACCTTGTGTGCTTAATACTTTGTTTTCCGAAATATCTGAACTTTGTTCAGAGCTTTTCGAACAGGGAAAATCTGCATTAATAACTCTTTATCGTGGTATGGTTCTTATCTGGAAAGTAACCCCAAAGCTATAGAATATTGTTACAAAACTCCTTTAAAGTTATATAAATCCAATTCAAAACGTCTTGTATAATAACTTTCCTATGACTGAGACTGAGCGGTCTACATTACAGCCATTCGTTTATGTTTTTTTTTTTATGCGGTAAGCAAAAATCTGTAAATAAGTCGAGATCATTTGATATTGTGATCGTGTGACAGTGAATCCAAGCGCCCCAAACTCGGCTATTAAGGTACTTTTTAAGGTATTTTCAGCATTCAGGGCAGAGTTCGGAGGGAGAAAATTAGAATACCAAAGTGTGAAAACATGAAATCCCTCTCAGAGAAAAGAGGTGTTTTTATCCCTTGCTTGGAGTCTTTATTCACTTTGTATGCTTGTTGACATTACTGGGTCAGTATCCACATCTGATTTAGCCTTTATTAATTTGATAAGGCTCATTGTTGAATAGTTGAATAGAAGTATCCTTTACAAATGTCTCATCCCCTTAAACCTCGGTAGTTGAAGCTGGAGGTGTCAGATTTGATATCAAGTCTTTCAGTATTTTGTGTATTTAGTGTCATTTCAGAGGCGTGAGTGTTACAACGGTATTAATCAGTCTTTGGAAGTAAATCAGCCATCTTTTTCAAGTGGGTGTTGGTGAGGCTGTACTTTTTTTTCTGGGAGCTCAGAGACTCAGACTTTTCTGCCGGAATGGAAAAGCAAATAGAAACAAACAAAATGGAAGCCCGTAATTACCTTCCTGTGCATCGTTGTGTGCCGAAAATAGATTGCCACAGATTAACACGCTCCCTTTTTCGATAAGGTGAGCTTAATCTCCAATTTATCTGCGGAATAAAGAAGAAAATAGGTTTTTCTCTTACTCATAGTTCCTCCGGAGTCTGTCTTATTTGATGTTAGGCCAATTAAACCCTGATGGTCCCCGCTTGTTTACAGCTCCTCTGTTCTGTTTCCACTCGCGTCCCACGAGCAGGAAGAGATTGAAAGATACCCCACAGCAGTGATACTATTACCTCCACTCATATTTGTGTGCATGCTTGCATTCAACTCATTTTCCATCCCTCCTCGGCTCTCCATTCGTTCTGCTCGCTCTTGCAGTTTTGTTGTTTGCCTTTCATTATTTTCTTCATTAGCGCGAACAAACATCTTTGTTCGAATTCTCTTTTGGATATCCCTCCACGTCAGCACATTTCCACTTCCTTGATCTGAGACAGCGGGAGAAAAGCGAGGGAAAGAGGGAACCGAAGGGGGGGGGAAGAGCAAATTAATTGTATTATTTCAGCTTACGAGCTAAATCGCGGCGGCGGCGGGCTGAGCGTTCCGCAGGACGGGAAGGGAGAGACGAGAGACGGGAACAAAGAGATAACCGAAGTGCAGGGCCGAAAAATGATCATCGGTTATTTGTAAGAAAAGGAGAGAGTGATGGAGGGCAGGCAGGCCGTCGCCCCGTTTCGAGTTCAGCAGAGTGGAGTATTTAATCTAACATGATGAACGAGCCGTTGGAAACATCATCCTCACGACTCCTCCCTCACCCCCCCCCCCCCACACCCCCCATTCTCATGGACCATAAGCCCTGTGATGGAGCTGTGTTTAAGGTCCTTTAAACACCAAGGTAAAGAAAGTCACACGGCGTCAGGAAGTGCATCGTGCTCGTTCACCTTTACTCCGCTTTTTGCAAATTGCCACCAGCAAGAGCGGCTCGCTTCAGGTTTTTTTATCGTCCCGTACATCTCACGCCCAGACGTCCAACGGATGACTAATGGCCTAGTGTGAAACCCTGGAATTGTCAGTATTTTTTAAATTTTTAATTTTTTTTTTCCTTTTTGTCAGAATTGTCAGTATTTGAATGGAAATGTTGTCGCATGTCTTTTAGCGATGCGGGTTTGTCAGAAAAGTTGGGAAAAAGGTTCAAGAAATACTTTTAAGATGTGCTGTGAAAAAAACCAAATGGAATATCCAGATGTTTTATGTCAGAAACTCTCATTAAAAAAAACAGTAACATAGACAGAGTCGTGTTTGGAATAAAGTTTACTTTAGATTCGCTTATTAATCTTTTTTTGTTTTCAGTTTTTTGTTATCAGTGTTTCATAGAGGGCATCAAATTCTGTTCTGAACAGAAAGAGGAAAGCCTTCGGGGGGGAGATCAGGGAGTTTTTGGATGCTGTCAAAAGAACACATGTTGGAAAAAGAAGGGAACAAAGCAAAAGCAAGAAGATGTCCAGCAAAAAATTATACTGTATTTGTGTTGATGGATGAAAAAGATCCCAGACTTTAAGGTGACAGAGGATCATCTTTAATTTTAGGACTCAAAAGAGTGTTATTAAAGTGTTATTATTCTTTGTCCCATTGCAGATAGAGTTGTTTATTTGCCTCTCTCAGCTGCCTTTGTATATTTGGACAAGCTTTTGGAGCAAATACTTATTTTACAGTTCAGCTGCATCTTCAAAAGATTTTCCCTTATTTTGTTTTAGGTTCTTCTGCATTAGGGTGAGATGTATTTTACCAGTCAAGTCATACTTTCCCCTATTTTTTCCTGTGCGAGCGCCATTTTTGCCACCTAACCGTTTCCTGTTGTAGCAGGGGGTGAGTCATTTTTCCCCCTCATCCTTTTTCCTCATTACTTCCCTCCTTCCATCCTTCCATACTCCGCGAATTAACTGGAGAAGGGCAGCGGGCCGCTCCACACATTGGGTAGGTAACGAGGGGAACGGGCAGGACGGCCGCTAACACCCAGCTCTCTAATTGGCTGCCTGGGAGGAACGGGGGGAGGGGTCATCTGGCGTAGGTGACCGGCCGTACCCTCTCGGGCTCATGCCCCCCCACGCTATAGGGGGCCTCTCGCCTCTCTGCCAATGTAGAGCATCGATCCCGTCTGTGTTTTGAATTACGGCCGTCTTGTTTCCCGAAGATCCCCCGATTGAACCGAAGGGGGTTCGCAACAACGAGCCCGGAACGAGGTTGCTTTCCACTCTGTCACCCCGCGCTCTCATTATCCCGGCCGTGCATCTCCAAACCCGACTTGAAAGAGCAATAAGTCCACATAGTTATAATTGATAGGATATCGAGGCGAGTTTCTGCTGCCCCGAAGCCCCTCGCATCAAAAGTTTTAGCTCAATTAGGACCTTTCCGTGCACCGCGTTCACTGGGTTTCGCACACATTATCTTTCCTAGGCTCTTCTGTCATCCTCTTCTAAGATCAGAGTGTCTTAATTACCCATAACGCTTCACAGGGTCTGATTGTTGCCCATAATTCGGTGTCACTGTCCCCTCTCAGTATCGCCGCGTAGAAAAAGAGGGGGGAAAAGGGCTTAAATAACCGACGCTCCTCTAATTTTTGTGTGAAATAGTGTAATTGGGGCCTTCCGATCGTCAAGCGAAGCTTTTTCGACAGCTACAAATTCGACCATTCCGCAGAGTGCTTGAAATATCCGGCTGGAGTTTTTTTTTTTTTTCTGCGCCGTACAAATATTTGAGGATCGGCCATCTTGTAGTGCAGAAATCCTGCTGCCCCGACACCAATTATGATGAATCCCCCCACCCTCCAAAAAAGAACAAAAATAGAAAAAGAATTGGATCAAATCAACAAAAATGCTGTTTATTTATTTTCTTCTTTGTTTGGTTTAATTACTACAAATGTTTTTTGCTGGTGAGGAGCAGAAAAGGCTCATGATTTGTAGCGGGCGCAGGTGTTTAGCGCCCCCCCTTTTTCGAGCACGATCCTGGAACAAAAAATAGCGCTTTGTTTGGGCTTTTTGTGCTCAGGCAAACGCTTAACTGACCCCTCACCTGGCTCACCCGCTCCGCGAGGGTCGCCGAGACCTTCTTTAACTCGTTCTTTCTGTGAAAGCTCGCCCGTAACGTCAGGGTGTGCGTCCCTTTGTGCGAGTGTGTCTGATGTTTTGCGTAGAGGCGTGGGCGTGGGGGCACTTCCTCTGTCTCCCAGTCTATTTTTCCCTTTCCTGGCTCCGAGCTCAACGCTATAGAAAATGCTCTGAACTGCTCTGAGTGGTAGGGGTCAAGTGGAAAAGGCTGTGTGTGTGTGTGTGTGTAGTGCAACGCGGACCTACAGTATGAAAACTGTTCCTCAGCATCTAACCCCAATTTCGGAAATGGGCATCAGAAGGCATTGAGCCTGAAAGCTTTTGCTTTCCCCTGATGCAGCTTTGGCTTTCACACAGCTTTTGCCGCCACGCTCAGGAATACACACTGCATCTTTTAGCAAAACAACACACTCCAGAGCCTCTTTCTCCCTCCCCAGTGTGTCTTTGTAATCCATGCCCGCGTCACATACAGAGAGTTTGTGCGTCATCTGGAGAAAGAAGAAAAGTCAGCGAGTCTTCGGCGAGCCAATTTTTTCACCGGGTCTCTGTAACCCCTCTCAAAAACAAAAAAACACACACACACACACACACACACACAATTTACCCTTACTATACCCAAATGAGGAAACTTAAAGCTGCAGCATTTGTTAACCCGTTGGAAAAATGGTTACAGATATTGTTAGGCTTCGTGTTCACAGACTATTTGGAGAAGGTGACCGAACCTCGCCACGTTTAGGAATAACTGTGTGGTGTTTTTTACCAGTCTCTTTTCATCGTTTCAGGACTCTAAAGCCGGGCTGGCCATTTGTGACGTGGAACTGACCGCAGCCAACATCAGAGAGGTGGACCGCAGAGCCTTCGAGGTCAACACACCCTTCAGAAACTTCTGGTATGTCTGCTCTTAATACGTTTGGGCGCAGAAATGTTGGCCTATGTGTGTTTTAATTGATGTGTGTTAAGTAAACTTTGATTATTTATTTATTTTTATTGTTAAAGATGCAGCTTTAAAGGACATAATTGATTTTCCTCTGCTCCTGGATCATCATGTGAAACTTTTGACACCATACGCCCTTAATTCTGTTCCATTGATGTCTCGCATCCACAATCACAGCGACAAAAATAAACTATGCCAATTTTTTTTCCCCCATCTGCCACCAGGTGTTTTTAGGTTTTATAGGGGTTGACACGCTGTGCTTCACAGCCCGTAAAGTTAGAGAGAGAGAGCCGAATCTCGTGTCATCGTCTTTTTTCCGAATTACAGCTGGAAGGCCAAACCCATCACCTGAGCTATCCAGCACATCGGAAACCTGGAACCTTGTGCTAAGTCGGCCTTTACAACCAGCTCCCGAATCAAGTTCAGCCTTCGTTTTTAGAAATAGTTTGAAGTTACTTTACTTGGATTTAAGTCCAAAAAACCATCCGATCAGGGAGCTACCTCCCAATCCGGACTTGTTTTTTTTTCAAAAACTTGTTTGTAAAGCTCCCGAAAATGCAGATGACAACGTATCGATCCACCTCCGAACCAGCAGAAGCGCGCGCCTCGCGTCACCCCGTCTCAGATGTAAAATACCGAAGTAATGAGCAGGCTATGTCTCAAAAGTTATTACCCTGCCCTAACGAGGCAGAAGAGAGAGGATCTTTCTCCAAAGTTTACTTTTCCTTCACTCATTAGCACTTTTGTCAATTCTCCCCTCGCGAAAAAAGCGCCTCACGCATCTCCGAGCCCTCACGACACGACTCTCACATGCGTTTGTCAGCGCGGGGCGCCGGCTACACGGGGAAGAACACGGCCCCCGTACAAAAACCCCAGTAATTATCGACCGGGCGCTGCCTTTATGAAGCCTTCTCCCCGGAGGCTTGCGCAGGTATCTCTGCCTCTGTAGGGCGCAAAGCCTTTCAGGTGACTCCTCTCCCCCCCGAGGGGGGGCCCACAATCAATGAGCGCGCTTGCTTGTTTGTGCCGTAATGGCCCATTTAGAGGAGAAGCGTGACAGCTGCCTGGAAAAGGAAGCGCGGTTCATTTGTCGGTGCGCGCTTGTTCACCATCTCGTCTTTTTCGCCCCCTTTTTTTTTTTTTTGCCACCCGTAAAGGTTTTTTTTGTTTGTTTTTTGCCCTTGCGTCTCTAGCTGTCTGCTAGATCGATCCGTTTGTGGCTGCTGCCTTAATGGTTCCCATCGTATGGCCGCTTCGTTAACAAACCAGCTGTAATTGGAACCTCCTTCCCCGCGAATGGCAAAAGAAAAAGTGGAATTAAAATGAGCCGGGGTCCTCAGAATTGTTTTGATAAGGTGATTGCTTCAAGGGGGTTTTATTCCGCGTGTGTGTGTGTTTGTGGATCAAATCGATCGGTGACCCTGGAAGCGTCCCCCAACCTGCTCAAGGTGGGGATTAGCGAGAAACTCGTCTAATCGCTTTAAGCTCGTGGAGACTCACTTTGGCTTTTCCATTGTTTTGGTCACATTAAGTGGATGGAGCGTTCAGTCCGTGGTGGCAGATACAACATGAGGACTCCTGTGAGCACTTGAAGCTCAGAGGGATCATGTATGGAAATATTTGGGCACGTTCAAAACCTCTAGCGTGGGTAGAAGGTCACTTTTCTGGTAGGAATTGGTGGAGGACCAAATGAAAACCTAAACCTGAGGGTTTGGCCACAGTTAAATAGCTTTTGGCTCTTTGGCTGAGGAAGGAATGGCTCTTTAAATGTTTTAATTCTCTACTAAAACAGAGGTTACTCAGTGATCAAACTTGCTTTCATGAATTCTTAAGGTCTCTGTTTGACGTCTTTGGGCTACCCATCCCTAGATAGTTGTGATTTCTGCTCCTGATTCTGCCTTTCATTCCCCTGCCGTCCTTGAGTTTATTTTGCGGCTTCGCGTTAAGCTGCCACTCCGTGGCGCCTCGCTCCTCTGTGGGTTTTCGTTTAGATTTTCGAGTTTCTGATGAAGTCCGGGAGACGGCGTGAGCAGTCGTCTCTTCGGACGGGCTCGGGGCGCAGAAGAAGCTGAACCAATCAACCTATCGATCCCCGCCGGGTTGTTTGGTTGAGGATGGGCCGATGCACATCCTTCGCTCCAGGCAACCCCCCCCCCACCGCCGTCCCCCCCGACCCCACCCCTTCGGCATGGCCTCCTTCCACCCCACACATCTTCCATCTTACTTCGCACTGCATGCCAAGTTGCCATGGAGACCAGTGGTCTAATTTCTTCTTTCTAAGTGCTTCCTTCAGTCAAGGAAGGGTGCTCCCCGTTTCTCCTCCCTCCCCCTAGTACATTTCTGCCAGTTTTTCTGACCCCTCTCACCAGCACACATATGGCTGCTTAAATGTACTTAGCATACATGCGGACATGGAATCCTGAGCTGGTAATTACTTTCAACGGCAAGCGTAAACAAAAACAAACAATCTGCTACCAGGTCTGTTTCAAGATCTCTGTCTTCATGCTAAGAATACCTATGATGATAATTCTCTCACGTTTATGTCTGAAGATTAAGACTAATCCTGACAGAGGAGATATGGGAATGACCAACCGGACATCTTTTAGGGCTTGTGGAGTAATCCGGCTTTAGTCTTGTTGGTAATGACCAATTTTTTGTGCTTCACATCAGAGGAAAGGATCATAATTGCCAGGCCTTAAGATGATGTGAGGGGTCATTATTTGATCAGTGAAAGCTAAAACAAAAAGCATAGGCTAAGCCATGCTACAGAGAAAAGGCTTTCTCTTAGGAAAGACTTCCAAACAAGCCCTTTCTATATTTGTATTGTTGCTAATTTCCATATTTTGACCATATAGAAGACCAGCAAACAACCAAATAATTTCTTTACTGCTATTTCTATTCTGTTCTGACCTGTAACCATTTAGAATTTGGGCAGGGCGAATAACTTTTGCACATAACAGAAGACTGCTGAGCTTTTCTGCTTCCTTCTCTTCTCTTAACTTATCAATTTCACAGCGGCAAACGCTCCGGTTCCAACTGCTGATGGAACCAGTGTCGAACACGATGCGTTTTAAACGTATATTGAGGCCTCGAATCGGTTATATTTGCACACTTTTCCTCATCAGTCGTTTCTCGACTTTTCGCGGGCCCAATGTTGAAATAATATCCTGGAAAAATATCCTGTCTTAGAAGTTTATAGATTGTTGAATTGCACGCTGAGACGGATTGATTTACTCGTCCGCGCCCCCCCCCCCCACATCCCACCATTCTTCTATCAGTTTCAGTAAATCTAATGCAGTCACACACAGACGTTCGCACTTAGCAACTCCCTCCCAAAACTACTCCAAAGATTGCACCCCCCCCCGTCACCCTGCCAAGCGCTACCATGCTGTTTAATTGCTCTCTCAAATCAAATCAATAACATTGAGGTCTCTGTTGGGGTGGCGGTTGGTGGGGGGGGGGCGCAACAAAAAAAAAAAAAAAAAAAATATCGATTGTTGCAGCTTCACGGCGGAGTCGGAACAGGAGAAAGAGGAGTGGATTGAAGCGGTCCAAGAATCGATCGCCGAGACGCTGTACGACTACGAGGTGGCGGAGAAGATCTGGTTCAACGAGGGCAACCAGAGCTGCGCCGACTGCCACGCCCCCCAGCCGGAGTGGGCGTCGGTCAACCTGGGCGTGGTCGTCTGTAAGAAATGTGCAGGTAAGAGGCTCTCTCATTGGTTTCCCCTCTACAAAATAGCATCCGAGTTCGTTTCTTACTTATTTCTGAGGTGAAACCATCTTAGAATTGATCATTCTGTTAAAATCATATAGTTTTAGTGTTTATCTTGATAGTTTCTTATAGTTTTATTCATTTTATGACGCATTCTGTGGTCCTGATATTGGCTTATATATGTAATATTGATGATTTTGTTTGGTATTACAAATTTCAACTCGAAAGATGCCAGTTTCCCATTGTTGCTGACTCAGCACTGCACGGCTCCACCAGTTTTTTTTTAAAATGGCGGTCAACCGACCCGTGACGTCAGCACCACACAACAGTGAAGGAAAAAGGCTGAGCCTCAGTGTCTGTTCATGTGTCAGGCATTTAAAAGGGTGGTGAGCCCAGAAATAATAAAACCGGACGTCTTTTTTTTTTTTTCCTCCATCTGTAGCCGTATCGGAGGCGTGTGAAAAATACAGCTCATCTCATTTAAAATGGCAGCCGTTTGGCAGCCGCGTTAGTCTCTCATTATGCCGATTGACCGTTCATCAGTTATCTGATTGTTTGCTATCAACAGCATTATATCTCGATGTAACCGAAGCCATTAAGCAAAAAGCTTTTTTTAAACTCTGGTAATAGTTGCAGGCAGCTCAAAGTCTTCTGCACTTCTCAAAACCAGCTGATGTGGGAAGGAAGAGGCACTCTTTGTTCCCCGGCTCCGAGAAATACCGCCTCAGCCTGTGGGAGCACTAGTTAGCGCTATTTGGCTCCGAAAAGGTCACGAGCTGCAAAAGAAGCGAATTGGAAATCCCAGCAGGCGCCGGCCTCACGCCGTTATATATGAAGAATATTTGCTCTCCTCTCAGCTCTTGATTTGTAAAGCGCGAACCAAAATAAACAGCGTGCATCCTGGGGAAAAAAAGCTCCACACAAGGCTCGCAGTAATTTAAAACCGAGAGGACGCGTGTTGGCTGTGTGTGTGTGTGTGTGTGTGTGTGTGTGTGTGTGTGTCAGGTCTGAAGCCTGTGTGAGAATGTACCCTGACCCCGAGGCTCTTTCGGAATCAGATCTCAGGTGATAAGCCACTTATGGGAGTCGGTGTCCAGCCTCTGGATGCTGTAATCTATTTGGCAATGCAGGCTTACTCAGATGAAGTGACAACAAGGATTTACCCCACCGGCGAGAACTGGTTGAACGCGGACGGCCTCGGCTCAACCCGCTAAACGCGATTAGAGAGAAACGGAGTGGACACGCCCAACGTGGATGGACGTAGGCCGCTCCTGTTCGTCTTTTTGCCGTTGCGTGCCCCCGATGCGCTCGTTTTATCCGGGTTCAGATTCCTCCCGCAGTCACGCTTAATGCGATTCTTCTCCTCTCACATCAGATATCCAGCATCTACACTCAGAGGCTTTTTAAAGCGATTTCATTTGCTGGGGGTGTTTAATATTACATTTAATTGACACGCTGGGAGCGAAGAGATGGGTTTTTTGCAACAAGGAAGCTGTCCTCCAGCGAGCTCTTATTCGACTCAAAGGTTTGATTTGCTTTTAGACAGCGGGATTCATTCGGATCGCCGATTCCTGCTTTTAATAAACCCGCTAATGCTTGACCACCATCAAGAGAAATGTTGAACAGGACGTTGGAGGTAACGAGAGAGCTAATGGTCAAAATGATCCCACAAAAGCTGCAGACTGAATTTTATTAGTGGGGGTCTTCACTATGTGAATATGTTCCATTTGGATTCAGTTTGCCATCTATTTATTAATAGATTATATACACAGCCTGGGTTTGGATTATTTCTGAATAAGGTTTAATTTGGTCCCGCAGCCTTGACATTTCCTTGCGAAAAGGAAGGTTATTCTAACCTGGATGGGGGGGGGGTGTTTGCAATAGAGTGACTAAGCAAGATGTTTTTAGTAACACTTTTCACATCATTTTTCATCTTGTCTGCCTTTAAACCGGGTCTAGATAGTTAAAAGCTACAGTGCACGAGTTAAAAACCACTTGTTTTGACCCATGGGGGAAATTTAAATGCATTACTAACATGTTAGTACACATATAACATGTCACAGACTGGAATTCTACCCAGCAACAGGACATTTGTTAACTGCTCAGCTGTAGTCTGAAGCTAGTCGCTAGCTTTGGGGAGTGTCCAGTCACTTCAAATTGGAACGTCCCAGCTTGTTAATAGCTCACTTTTAAGCGTTCCCCTTGACATTTTATGGTGTAATTCCTTAACAATTTATTATTTCTCCCTACACCTTTTATCTCGACTATCTCTCATCTTTCGGCGCACTTACCACAGAGGAAGTAGCATTATTTGAATTGACCTTTAGGCTTCTTCCCCTCACGTGTAATTGGCGTAATTTATTATCATTATTTTTATTTTTTTATATTACCAGAAAGCAACTCCTAGACGGCTCCGCTTCTGGTAGCAGTTGTCACGGTAACACAGAAGTGCACTACTTATTGTCTTGCTCTGACTTGACCGAGTGAGGGGGGGAAATGCCACACATAGCAGAGAGGGTTGGAAAAGTGCTCCGCGAAACTGTCGCCCGAGTTGCTCGGAAAGTTTTTAATTGGAGGTGAAATCCACGGTAGGCAGAGCCATGTATTTTTTATTTATTTTTATTTTTTTCTAACTCTGTGAAAGCTGTCATGATGGGTCTGCCCTTTTGTGTGTTGTTTCAGGTTCCACGGGAAAGATGAAGACATTTGCAACAGGCTATTTATACGGGGAAGGTCTGGCTGTGTGTACCCCGTGGCACATGCGCACGCAGGCTTTTTTTTTTTTTTTTCAGCTTCATTACCCTTACACAAGCGAAAATGGTCCCGCCGTGTTGCACGGCTCAGTGGACGGAGCACGGCCGTGGCACTGCGGCAGGCAGATGAAATGTTCTCACCCCTCACAGGTGGATGTGACAAAATCCTGCTCCGTGGCCTCCATTTTTCATGCCAGGCATGATATCTCAAAGACGGCTGTTGTTCCCTGTCTTTGTGACTTAGAGAGAGAGAGCCCAGGTTCAGGCTAAACTCCGGTCAGCATAAATTCGTCCACACCAGGTGCTTCAATCCTCAGTTTTTTGTTTCTCAACAATTTGTCAGAACCGCCGTGGGGTAAAAGAGACTTTCCATTTGAAATATGTGCATTTTTGCACGTCGATTTGTTTAAAAAGTGAACGATAAAATGGAAAAAGTAAAAAATATGACGAATAGAACATGGAATAGTGCGTCTTCCAGTATACCTTTAAGTATGTATTTAACTGTAGTATTTAACTTATGAGATGAATAAACTATTATACTTAATTTAAGTGATTAGAGGAGAGAAATCCACCTCCAACTGTTAGGATTTAATTAAAAAATAAATAATGTAATTGTACATTATAATAAAAACTGTGAAATCATAAATAACTAGGAAATGATTCCTCTTTCAACTGTACTGATTGGAAACTTGTCATTAATTGTTAAAGAGCATTTTTGCAGTTCCTTAGGGTTCATCGCATCTCATTTCTCATTCATTTTACATGCTGCAGCTAAATTTAATGCAGTTGCTGTTATTTGTTCATTTTCAGTCGTACAGCAACATGCATGATCTGAATTTCTCGTCATATTTAACCAAGCCAAAGACCAGCTTTGTTGGGTTTTTAAAGTCTGAAAAAGAAATGAAAGGGAGTCTTTGTCCGTGGTTGGCTTTAGTGCATTTTTCATGGGAATCTTTCATTTCACAGAGAACTGAGCCAGTTCATCACAAATGTTTATTCTCCTGTTGGAGCAGTCATCTTCTTTTTGTACTATAATTTTCTTCTTTTTTTAACAGAAATTTCTTGAATTCTACATTTTGGGCTGTTTTTTTTATAATGAAGGTTTGATGGCATCTTTTGACCTTTTCTAACGTTAATAATTTATTTTACTTCATGACTTTGGAGAAAATGAAATTAACATAAGAAGAATACGTTTCAGAATAAAAATCACATAATAATAATCTTGTAAAAATGTGTCTGACCTTTTACAATATTGGTACAACTCAATTCATAATGTCCCCATAGAAGTATTTGAATTTATGGGGATGTTTTTTAGACTTGCAGTTTATTTCGTTCACATGATTTCACTTCACTGATGAAGCGCTTTTAAAAATGGACAATATCTTTGTCACAAAGGCATGGGTGTGGGTGATTGGTATTATTGTGCTCGTTGAAGGAAAAATAAGGTAAATGTTGAACCTGCAGTGAGATTTTTAAAGGAAAAACAAAGAATATAGTTCTGTATCACGACAAAAATTGCCAGTTAAAGCCATATGTCCTTTTTCTCGATGATGGGAAAAAAAAAAAGACAACACACCTCCCGAGGTTACTGATAGATAATTCTTTTAGATGTTTTGTTTTGTTCAGAATTTGTCAATATGGCCTTGGCTTTATTCTCAGTGTGAGAGATTGCATCACATTACACCGGTCAGACATCCAGTTTGCTCTAAGAAGATGTTTGCTCTGCTCTGCTCTGTGCAGACAAGGTTTTGTTTCACAGTTTTTCAATGGAGGAAGAAAAATACTGCGAACCAACTGTTGATTATCACCTCGGTTTAAGTTTCCCCTTTTCTGTTTCTTGAACAGCGAATAAATCCGAGGTTGCTTGGATCCTTGGCTCTCTAGAACTGTGTCACGATGGCCTGTCACATCTCACAGCCCCGCATTTTAATTCACAGTTGCTCCACTTCTGAATAGGAGCCCGTAATGAGATCATGCCGAGTCAAAATCTAAAATTATTCGCCGTTACTCAAAGGACAATAATTCGCATTCACACATACAGCGCGTTTCTGCCTAATGTATTATGCATGTCTGCTCTGTCTTTGGCCACAAGCAACCCCAGAAGCCTCTCGTTCACCCAAATAAACAGGCCAACCAACAAACACAATGAATTACTCATGATTCATTAGCAATTAATGGCCCTCATTCTCTGCTTTCATTTCCAATTAGGGGAGCTGAGGGGACTAAATATGTCTGTTGTGAGTGAGAGAACGAGCTCGCAGTCATGCTCTGTTTCTCCATCTTGTAACTGCCTGTTTGCTGTTTACTCCTTCATTGACATTTGTTGTGTGTTTGCGCACGACGAGGAGATTGCTTCGCACAAATGTACGCTGTATTTTTATGCTTTTTTTATTTTTTTTTATCCTGTCACGTGCAAATCTCGGGCGTCAAAGCAAAGCCCGGGATCGAAACGCGGTTCGAGTTTACGCGTGATTCAGAAGTGTTTTTAATAAATCTGCCGCTTTTTTGCCCCTGTTTGACAGGCCAGCACCGCTCCCTCGGTCCGAGCCTTTCGAAGGTCCGCAGCTTGAAGCTGGACATGAGTATCTGGAGTAATGAACTTGTGGAGGTATTTACATCATTACTCTTCATCCTCCTAGATAAACCTCCTGCCAGTTACCCATTAAGCTAGCTTAGGGTTTTCAACAAGGTTTTTTCCCCTTAACACTTCCCCCTTGCGCACGTTTCAGCTCTTCCTGGAGGTGGGGAACAAGAGAGCGAACAGTTTCTGGGCCGCCAACCTTCCCTTGGAGGAAGAGCTCCACAGCGGGGCCTCGGCCGAGCAGCGCGCCACCTTCATCCGCAGGAAGTACCGCGAGAGGAAATACAGGAGGGTCCTCCAGGGTTTTCAGGACCTGGAGCAGCTCAATAAGGTACACACCTCACGGTAGACACTTAGAGACAAATTTATCTCAATGGACAGAGATGGGTTGAGCATATGTGATGGAGACACATCAGCCACTTAGTTTCTTTCTCCTCGTAGCAAAACCTTCGAGATAAACAGGTGTTTCTCATTTTCTTGCTTTTACATGAGCGACGTGACCGAGCAGATTCGTGATGTCGATCAGTCGTGATGTATTTATCGTTAGTTACATATCAGTGCGCTTGACACTCTTGAGTTTTTCTTCTAGCCACTTAACCCTTATATTATGTTAAGGGTCAATTTGACCCGTTTCAGTTTTTGTGTTGGTAAAAGGGATGGTTATCCTTTTTTTTTTTTCATGACATTTGGTGACTTTTCCTCATCTGGGGTCATGAACCTGTGTGTGAAATCTGGTCACTCTGATGTTTACGGGGGGGTCTGTGCAGAGTTTGTATACAAAGATGATGTTGCGGGTCAATTTGACCCGGACACCATTAATGTGGGTAAGTAGCTGTTCAGATCCAAAATAAACATGTCTCTTCAGTGTACTTGTATTTTCATTGCCTCTGAGACCCAGACCAAGGTGTTTGTGAAGGGTTTGGGTCTGAGGGTCTGTGTAAAATACTCAACATCACCACACCAAAGTCGAGGCAGACTGTCATCATCCAATGTGATCAATATGACTCCCGTCATACAAGATTTGCTGTCACAAGAGTTCATTAGATTCAATCAGCATTTCAGATCTTCATATCCCCACCAATAGAGAGGATGATACTGGAAATGACCAACTTAGAGGGGAGACGTGTGTTTCAAGAGAAATGGAAGCCACTGGATCAGACTGACTTCCATGCTTACATTAGAGTTCTGTTAGTAGCTGGAGTGTACAGGTCAAAGGGGAGTAGCAACTGCAAGTTTATGGATTGAAGACAATCCTTGTCCCCACGTTACTGTAGATGAGAGTCTTGTTTCATTCAGGGGGCGCTGTCCTTTCTGACCGTACACACCCAACAAGCCTGCCAAGAGTGGCACCAAAATATTGGCTGCCTGTGATGCAAAATCCAGCTATGCATGGAATCTGCAAGTATGCACTAGAAAAGCTACCTGGAGGAAAATCTGAGAAGAATCAGGGGATACATGTGGTGCTGGAGATTAGTGAAGGGTTGCAAGGTCATATCATCACTTGTGACAACCTTTTGTAACTTGTTCCAAAGTAACAAGGAATGCCTTGGAGAAGAACTTCAGAAGAGAAACAGTCAGATGCAATAAGGCAGAACTTCTCAGTGAAATTCAGAAGATGCAGGGCAGACCTCAGTATTTGCTTTCATTGAGAACGTGACAGTTGTCTCATACCGCCCAAAGATAAACAAAAATGTTCTTGTATTGAGTACAATGGAAGCTGATGCATCTCTGGGCACAAGAGAGGACTTGAAGCCACAAGTGATCCTGGGTTATAAATCCACCAAAGGAGGAGTTGAAAATCTGGACAAAGTCACAGCAACATACAGCTGTCAGAGCCAGTTTGATCCAGACTGGAGCCGGGCTAGCTTAGCCCCAGTAGCAGCAGCTATCATTGAAAAGGTCAAGCTCAGGTCCCCCAACCAACACCCAGTGGACAGGTGAAAAAGAAAGGGAAAACCAGGATGCCAGGTCTGTCCCTCCCAAGAAGACAGTAAAATAAGTACTTCTTGTGTGAAATGTAAGAATTACACCCGCAGAAAGTACATATTAAAATTCGAAAATGTGTTAGTGAAGAGGGAAAATCCCCCAAAAAATAGAACTTAAAGAAAGTGTTGGAATTAAAAATGTATTGTATGTCACTTTTCTAAAGGTTAATTCAATATTACATCATTTTTTATTTGTTTCACCAGTTTTTTTTACTGTTTTGCAGTCATTTACATGGTGCGGGTCAAAATGACCCGCAACATAATCAATGTAATTTTTTTCTAACATAATATGAGGGTTAAATAACATTTTCATTTGCACCCCACTGAATCCACTCCGGTATTCTCCTTGATTTCCTGCCTCAACACACCTGATTCACATCAACGCCACATTAGCAGTTTGTGCAAAGCTTCGCGCTAATTTGAATAGATCCACGTGATCTGAATCAGAGAAACCTCCAAACCCTGCAGGACAGTAACCTGTGAGGACCAGAGTTGGACAAACCTGGATTTATTTGTCTGTTTGTGTCTTTTGCTGCAAAGCGGAGCTAACTTTCTGACAGTTTCCCTGCTGTCCACAGCCTGGGCCGCCACATAGCCACCACCTGGGTCTGTGTTACTTTTTATTGCACTAATCTTTTTGAACTTCTACAAGCGGTGCAAAAACTCAGCACGATGCCTTGACGGTACCTTTTCCTTCTGCTGCTGCCTCACCATCTGTGATATTTTAGCTGCGTGTGTGTGGAATATGTTAGAATCTGTTCACTTAAAGCCTCTCAGACAGATGAAAACTAAAATAGAGAAGCAAATGATGCTGAAAAGTCATCCCACGCCAAGTGATATTCAGTTCCGATGGAGCTGAGAGCATGCCCCTCATCCTACCCCGTGGAAGTAGTGTCCGTCGCTTTAAGAAAAACGGCACACCGTCCACTCCATCGACTAAATCCACTGAACCTGAAACGTCCTATATTTTCCTGACCTTATGACCGTCGGCTAATCTGTGCTTTAGGGCTAAAGGAGGCGAAGGGGGAAAGTCTAATCAACTGCTGGTATGAGCACTCCGCAACTACCTTGGGGTTCGTCGCTGCTTTTTTTGTTTTTTTTCAAAATGTTGGCCCTCTCAAAGCCATGGCAAGAGTTTCCGCCTGCCTCAGCGGGTCCGGATCCAAGCCCCCCACATTGTCCCCCCGTACAGGCGCAGAGGAGTGGAGGGAATGAGGCGCGAGAGTACCGAGCGCATGCACCAGTGGAAAAGTGGATTAGGATCCACAACAGAAATGCTTGGGTTGGTTTTATTGCGCGAACGTGCAACTCTGCTCCGCTCGAGATGTGGGAATTTGCGGCTCCGGTGGGAGTTTTCTTGCCAGGTGGTGTGGGCGAGGAGGTGTGACGGGGTGTAGCTCCCTGTAGGGGTCAGTCCAGGAGAGGTGTGTGTGTGTGTGTGTGTGTGTGTGTGAGTGTAATGGACTGGCAGAAGAACTGGTGGGAGTGGGTGGCTGCGTGTGCTCTCAAAGTACCCGGTTTTGCTTTTCTAGAAACACACACAGTGACCCAACGCGCTTGTGTGTTTCTGAGCGCTGAGGAAATTAACAGTCCACAGAAAAACTCCTGAAAAAAAACATCCCGAGCTTCGGAGAAAAAAAAAGAAGAAAAAAGAAAAGATCGGGAAGGACGCCGAGTCTAATCTCCTTGGACAAGTTGTTCCAGTGCCGTGTCACATTTACTTACCGCTCGCCTGAATATGAAACGCTAAATTCTATATAAAACCCCCCCCCCTCCTTTGGGAGTCTTCGTCGGAACAAAGACAATAATGGTGACAATTTTCTCATTGACATTCATGCCGTATTAAAATCAAGGATGACATTTAATAGGTTTTTTGGGGCTCGGGGGTCACAAATCACAGGGGTTTGTTAAAGCAGCATCCAGTGTGTCATTCAAAGTTGTATTTAAATAGAAAAAAACAGGATTTATGGGTTGACAGCCACAATACCTGCACCTACCTGTGTTGTCTTTACTGGATTTTTTGTATTCTTTTGCAGCGTTGTTTTTTTTTTTTCTCTTAAAGCCCTCTCTTCATCCCAGTCTCTTGTTCCCGGAGTCCCGTGTTCCCCATTAGGAGCTCATATCCCATTGACCTCCACCGAGTCCCGGCAGACCACATGACCTAGAGAAGGGGTGTCAAAGGAGCTTCTTATATCCTTCCGCGCACACACACGCACACACACACACACACACGCACACAAAAGCCTCTCGTGGCTATAGTAATTGCTATGACACGGAAGGTCATTTCCAGAGACAATACAGAATAAGGCCAGGCTGCTCGGGATTGCGTCGCCACCCACCTGACCCGGTCTGCGTGTGTGAAGCAAAAGAGATGAAGACAGAATTAATTTTGCTGTTGTTTCCCCCCTTTTGATGAAGATGAAGCGGTCCGTGCGGGAACGGCGAGCGCAGATGGAGATAAATGAACGCGAGGGCCCTAGAACGCACAAACTTAAACATCTTCATTCCTCTGTGTGTGTGTGTGTGTCTGTGTGTGTGTGTGTGTGTGTGTGTGCCGGCTTTATTGACAGGTACTTTGCTCGTGTGTCCATATGCACCCGGCCTCCCTTTCAGACGGATATTGCTTGTTTGTGGCAGATCGATGCAGCCCACCGGCTCGGCCCGAGCCCCCGATGAAAGGAGAAGTTGTTCGCCGAAATTCCACTATTTGCCACTCGACTCCTCCGTTGATCCACTTTGTCGCAGGTCATCGAGCACAATGTCACGTCAATGGACCGGACCGGCGGAGAGAGGCGGCCAGAGAAAGAAAATATCAGCCGTGTTGCTTCGCCGCTTTTATCTGCCCGTCTCAGCCGGACCACCTTTAGGAAAAAAAAAACGACCCGAACAGATAGTGCGTGTGTTTTTGTCCGTAGCGACCCAACCAATGGGGGTTTGAGCAAGCCATATCGATGGAGTTGACTGGTTTCTACCTCCGGCTTTAGTGGTTGAAGCGACTGGACGCTGTCCTTGTCCACCTGGCGTCGGTTGCTGAGGGACCTTCACTGTGTCTTCAAAGCCCAAAAGTTTTTTTTTTGCTCGTCTTTGTGCCTGTCAGCGTATTTTTCTGTAAAGCAAATATCAGCGCGCGCAGATATTTGAGAAGCATTTGACTGGCTAAGTTCATACGAATTCGTCTGAGGGACAAAGGTTGTACAAAATGTTCAACCCAAAGTCCACCTTGACGACAAATGAAAAGGAGCTCGAAAGCTTTGTATTTATGAGGGAGAATCTGTATGTCAAAAGATCGGACATTTAAAAAAAATGCCTAAAAAAGCAGAACGGACGCTTTCGTTCAAGAGTCCACAAGTTTAACACTTTGTGGGGTTCCCTGAAAGAGGCTTACATGTTTGAATACTTGTTATTTACAGGACTTTTTGACATTTCAAAGTTAGGTAAAGCAGCTCTAATAGTGACAGAATGGGCACTAAGCAAAGATTTGCGAGCCTGCTGCTCCTACTGTAAAGAGGTTGTAATTCAAATCCCGGGCTACAAATTAGGCATTTTGGGCTTTTAAAGACTTGTGTCATCTGTTGGATCGAATAATTCCCTCAAATGTCTCCCTCATGTTTTCTAAAGAATATCCCAGGGTTTTGTGTGAAAATGAGGCTCTCATTTAATCAGCTTTTCTTTGTAAATGCCATCTGACGCAATGCCTCTAACAAGTTCTTTCCTGATGCAGACCTGAGATCCCCCTCACAAAGCAGAAGCTATTCCACAACCAGAGGAAGCGGTGGCGTTTAATATTTAAGTCGGTGTGACCGTGGACAGACGGGTGGGTGACGTCTTACAGCTTATGTGGAATCGGTCGCGGTAAAGCTGCAGTTTTCCTACAGTAGATAGAAAAAATAAGGTGGAGGAAGTGCATTATAAATTTTACAACGCGTACCAAGTGCGTATCCCTTCGTAAGCCCGTTCACCGGTTTAATTTCCTCAGTGACTCATTGTTGCTATTTTCAGAAGAGCATGCCAAAATTCTTTTGTTTCATAGCGTGTAGATTTTGCATACTATGGGGGACATCATACGCTTTATAAACACTTATCTCCTCAGTATAGGCTGCCGCTTTTCTTTTGCTCACTCCAGTGTTTTTCTCTTCTTTAGTCTCCTAATACTCCTCTCTGAAATTGTGCGTTTCATTATATTTAATATGGCCCATTTGTACTGCTCTTATTTTCCGCGTGGCTCTTTTTTTTTTTTTCACAGGGATTACGGCTGTAATGATTCCCGTGGGGAGTATTAAAGTTTGATCATATTTTAACTTCTCTTTGGAGAATCGGCAAAGGGAACTCAATTTCGAACTTTATAGGGTTTTCTTACGCCGCTTTATAGACTCTTTGTCCTCTATCAACCCGCACCGACTGGCACTCAACTCTGGCTGCTCCTCCTGCACTTCGAGGGATTTTCGCTGCCTCGTTGTCTGCAATTAATCCACCTTTTGCAGGCTACTTAGAAATCCAATGAGCCATTCCTTCCGATAATTCATCCGAGCATATTACGATACCACAATACCACAATACCACAGCAGGTGGGTTTTTAGTAAGCAAGATGGGAGACCACTTAAGATCAGCTAAAGAATCTAACCTGTGCATGTGGAAAAAACAAACAAACCGGTGACTTGCTCGGGCTTTATTCCTCATCTGAGTCTCCCGGCAACAGTATTAAGCTGGATGAGGGTAAAAGACGAATTGGTGACATAGGGAGACCTGTTTAAAACCTCTCGCTTCTTCTTCTTTTGGGCGTGCAGGCGCTGTGTGCAGCGGTGGTGTCGCCCGACGTGCTGCAGACCATGATGCTGGTGTTCAGCGGGGCGGACGTCATGTGCGCCACCGGGGATCCCAAACACTCCACCCCTTACCTTTTGGCTCAGCGTGCGGGCCAGAAGCTGCAGATGGAGTTCCTGCACCAGAATAAATTCACCGGTAAGTATTCTGGCAGCCCAAAACGGGCCTGCTGGTCAGGTGATCCACAAACTTTTTTTTATTTTTTGTCTACATCCTGCCTACTTTTTGCTCCTCATGCCTTCATTAGTTTAAAAAAAAACTAGTTATGTGTTGGTATTAAGGCGATTTCCAGGGCTGGACCCAGGTGGGATGCGAGGCCCACAAAAAAGAGCTTTGAATAGGCCACGTTGTGATCTGGACCTGAAATGAATACATTTAAAAGAGCCGATCCGATCCGACAGGTCTGTGAAAAAGGCCTTTGAGCTTGACGTTCGGTGTCGGTCTTGATTCGTTAACAAGCGGATCATATTTAAAAAATGGCACCTGCTACCATGCTGCCACTTTCATAAAGATTCAGTGTGTTTTTTTTTTTTGTTTTATTTTGTTCATGAATAGGAAATGAAGGCATAAAAACTCACAAATACCAAAACTGGAAAAGTTTAAGTTTAAAGTTCTGCGGTTCTCGTCCTATCCCCCCCAGCCTCTCCTTTGTATTACCCGGCAGCGGAGGCTCGGCCGAGATGTGCCGTGGCGTTTCGTCGTCTTTCACGACGGCTGCGTTTGGTCAGCGCGCTTCCACGCAGGGCTAATGATCGGAACGTTATCAGATTAAAGGCAGCGCGAGAGGCCGCTGGCTGGAGCCGGTGGGGGTGAAGCCTCTCTCTCTGGGACTGCGTTTCACATATATCTGCGGCACCGATCCTGTTAGGGGACTCGCTAATTGGCGGCGTGGGTCACCTGGTTACCTAGGCGATGGCAATTACTTGAGGTGTGCTAGAAAATACACACAGAGGGAAGGCAGGGGGAAACACGCGGGGAGATATTCATGCGCATGAGACAGACGTGCGGCATACAGAAGGCCGATGTGCTTATTATGTGGCTGGAAGTTATCGGGCTTCGTTGTTAGCGGAGAAATATGCACCGAAACTCTTCGGTGTCCACATAAGCCCGGTCCACCATAGCTGGCATTCGTGACCCGGGTCTGGAGAGCCAACTGGTTAGTGTGACAGATTGACACCTCCCCTTCGTCGCTTCGGGGACAGAGAAGTTAACCCAGGGTCACATAACCATCCTTAAGGAAGCCGTTTTTTTTTTTTTTCGAAAAAGACTCGGCGTTCTCTCTGCGTGTGAAACTGGCGACATGCGACCGCAGCCTTCTCGTTACGTCCAGAAATAGAAGCTCATTATTCACCCACGTCGTGTTTGTGTTTGGCCGATCTGCAGCCTCATGATTTATGTTTAGTACCAGCATTTAGAACCAGCGCAGGGAGCAGGGTAACTTTTATTTACTCAGGTGGGGAGTAATTAAGGTTTATGGATGCATTTTTTTCTCTCCTGGTTTGACCACTTTGAGCCACCGTAAATGTAAATGCATACAAGTCACTACTCTATTTAGAACAGTGACCATAAGCCCCTTGGAGGACACACTTTGGAGGATGCTGATGGACTAAGGTTGGACTGTTTTTAGCTTGTCAGATCCAGTCCAGCTCAGTTGGCCAGTTGCTCTGCCTTCTTCTGAGCTTTCTGAGTTACAGCACATAGCCTGTACTGATATGACTTAAGCAAAGTCATATAAGCTCAAAACCTTACACCAAACACAACACAAACCTTTTATAAGCCGCAAGCCATTTATAAAGCATCTGCCTCTCTTTTTATTTATTTATTTTTCAAGGTAATGATGCCGTCGCGCCGC